ATGTCCATTACCTTGGTTTAACCCATTTGCATCATCTTATTTATTTACCAAAAATACCAGTAGGCCTATTACTGAAACGTTAAAAAGAACAAAATATATTTTCGACAATTTTTTATGTTGTTAGCGAATTTCCCTATAGGGAAGTAGCTATTACCGTAGGTCTCATGGTAAGACCTAAGCCCGGGACCGATTTACTTTTTCATTTTGATGTCCCCAGAGGCCAAAAACACCATTCGTTCAAATTTTTATATATCTATATATATATATATATATATATATATATATGTCCATCCGCACGATAACTTGAGTAATTTTTGTCCGATTTTGATAAAATTTGGTTTGAAGGTGTAAGGCGGGATAAACTTGAACGAGTTCGCGAACCAGCATGATCGGACTATGGGAACGGGGGTTTATGGGGGGTTTTATGGGGTAAAAATAGGGTTTTCCCATTTTTGACCCTAAAAACAAAAAATTTCACAATTTCTTTTTAAACCATTTTGTAGAGCTTAAAAAAACAAATAATTTAGTATATTGAAGCATTATTATGCGCTTAATTGTTACGGAGAAAATTCAAAAAAATTGTAATTTTAAAATTCCCATGTTATTCTTATGGAGAATAAGTCAACTGTTGTAGTTTGCTTGTTTATGAAAATATTTTGATTGATTTTGGAAAATACTTTTATTTCTTACTAAACTATTATCATTTTATACAAAAAATCTTTTTTACCCTCCCTGTTGCAGCAAACCTAAGTACTCGTTAAACTAACTCTATTTAAATAGGAAATAAATGTGCTATTTTCATGAAGGCATTTTAGTGTAAATCCAATCAGGTTAATGGAAATTCGCTTAGTCTGCAGGTTTGCTGCGGCGGGGGTATTTTATAGTTTGTATTATTTATAGTTTTATTTTGTAGCTAAAAATATTAAATATATATGCATTTAAATTATGTATTTTATATGTATTTAGGATATATGTTTACACTATTGTTTATACTTTTTTTTTTTATATTCCTGACTGAAAAAATTATAACATTTTTTAATGTTGTTTTATAGTATTTTAGAGCTGAAAACAATAATGAAATGATAATGTATAGTATATTATAATATTAGTAGGATAATAATGCATTTTATATATTTACACTATTTTTATACTTCTCAAAAAATAGGTACATACCTGCCTGTATCACCTAATTTTCAAATCATTCAAGAAATATAATATTTTGAGAACAAATTTAATGAATGTCCGAAAAACTTGTAAGTGATGTAAAATAAAATGTTTTTAGGGTACTTTGGTATTTTAATTTACTTTATAACATTTAAAGTAGCCCTCATTGGTGTATATAATGAAAATATATATACATATATATTAATAATTGGAAACATTATAACAACATTAAGTACCCTTTTAAATTCATTTTAATTAAGAAACAACATGTTTCGACACTATGGTCATAGTCATGTTTTTTTACAAATACAATAACAGATTAATGAAAAGAATAAATATAGTCATATGTTAAGTTAACTTAAAATTTAGAGGATCTTGATCTATTCTTTGTTTAATTTTGCGTATATTATATAATATTTCTGTTTTATTGCAATTGTAGGATTTTTTCGAATATCGGATTTGTTTTGTTGATGTTCATTGTGTTCAGTAAATTTTGAGGAAATCTTTTGTAATTTGTGTATGTATGAAAATCTTTCTTGACATTTAATTTTGTTTTATTTCTTTCATATTCTAGAATTTCTAAATTTTCATTTATATTTTTGTATTCATGTCGAGTTTCGATAAGGTGCTCTGCAAAATTTGATTTCATTGTCGTTTTGTTACCTGATTTTAATGCTTGTATATGTTCTTGGAACCTTTTTATAAAACTACGACTTGTTTGGCCAATGTAGGATTTATTACAGTCTGAACATTTAATTTGATAAATGCCTGATTTGTTTATATCTTTAACTTGGTTGTTATATGCTTCATTAGAAATTTTGTTTTTTATCATCTGAAAGGCATTATTTTTAGTTCTGTAACTTATTTTCAAATTAGAATTTTGGAAGGTTTTTCTTGTTGCTTTGAATGAAGCATATAACAACCAAGTTAAAGATATAAACAAATCAGGCATTTATCAAATTAAATGTTCAGACTGTAATAAATCCTACATTGGCCAAACAAGTCGTAGTTTTAAAAAAAGGTTCCAAGAACATATACAAGCATTAAAATCAGGTAACAAAACGACAATGAAATCAAATTTTGCAGAGCACCTTATCGAAACTCGACATGAATACAAAAATATAAATGAAAATTTAGAAATTCTAGAATATGAAAGAAATAAAACAAAATTAAATGTCAAGGAAGATTTTCATATATACACAAATTACAAAAGATTTCCTCAAAATTTACTGAACACCATGAACATCAACAAAACAAATCCGATATTCGAAAAAATCCTACAATTGCAATAAAACAGAAATATTATATAATATACGCAAAATTAAACAAAGAATAGATCAAGATCCTCTAAATTTTAAGTTAACTTAACATATGACTATATTTATTCTTTTCATTAATCTGTTATTGTATTTGTAAAAAAACATGACTATGACCATAGTGTCGAAACATGTTGTTTCTTAATTAAAATGAATTTAAAAGGGTACTTAATGTTGTTATAATGTTTCCAATTATTAATATAGTAGTAGCCCTAATCGCAACCATAATTATTATACATATATATATGATCTTCTTAATTTTTGATATTGAAATCATATTTATATTATAAATGGTATGTATAATTTTTGTAAAAATAAAATTTTATAATTTCATGGATGACGGTCAGCCATGATACTGTACATCACGGACTTGACGTACTAGTATGTCATCCGATGCAATTGGCTTAATAGATAACCTGTTTTAGATTAACTTAAAAACCATGCATTTGCGGGATGGTTTTTTACTTTGTAATGGTTATTTTGCCATTGCTAAGGAACCAAGTAGCAAAAGCACGTGTCCCATTTCAATAATAATACGTACATCCTTAAAACAAAGACGTTTGTAAGTTCTAACATAGATAATGGCAGAACGCCCAGAATCAACAGAATAAAGTTTGGTTACCTTTCCTTGTCTAGGCATACAGTCAGATGTTTTATATAGTAGGCTACTACAACTGTAGTATCATACTGGTCCCTGTAATTTTCTCATTATTAAATATTTTCAAACAATGTTTAAACCAAGTCTAGTTATATTAGGGTCTTAAAGATATGCATTTTCCGTTATTACCTGTCTTTGGTGTTTTATTTTATGCCACCTACTTTTTACCAGGATCAAAATAAAATAAAAATCTTTTATGTCACCTTTTATCGTATAAAGTACTATATATTTTTAATTTTTTAGAATAATTTATTCCTTTAACTAATATCTTTCTAATATATAAGTATAAAGCCAATCATAGTGCAATTGTATTGCAATAACTTGATTTTATTGCAGTAAACTATTTTAATATATTTTTTAGGGATGCACATAAATAAAGTTTAAACTACAAGGAAAACTAAATACTTTCTTAGATATTTCAATAGGTCATTGAACCTCTTAAGGACCCTAACCATACAAACAAAGCAACAGTAAGAGATGAAGTACTAGTTAAATGTATGTTGTAGTAAACCTGCGGCTTTCATTTGAGGCTAAATGTAGTGGTTCGGAATTTAATTTAAGTTTGAACTATTTTGAAGATAAATTTAAAACAAACATTTGGACGTTTTTGCTGCTTTTTGTTGTGCTTTACCCCAATTTATTGCGAGGGAGAGGACAAGATAGGGATGTTGGATGTTGGTGGATGGAGACAAGGGTTAAGCCTAAAATATGTAAGTTGTTTTTGCTTTTTTGTGGAAGGGGAGGAGCGGATAAAACGTGGTGAATGGAATAATTAAACGTGAATTAAAACTACATTTAGTTAGAACTCTTTTATCTCAATGACAAACTTATATCAGCCTATTATTTTTGGCAGGCAGCGGCAACAATTAATTCATTATTCTGCAATGAGTCGCTCAGAGGTAGCAAAAAATAGACATGAGAGAATGCTGGCATTGCTGGCCGGCTCCCAGCTCTGGAGATTGTCTGGAGCTGCAGTCAACATCATTCTACTCCTTCATTGATTATTGTATATATCTTAACTTATGCAAGGTGTAAAAATATAATAACAGCATATTAATTGAAAACTATCAATCAATAGATTAAAGAGAATTCCTTCTAGAGTTTTTATTTGATTAACTTTTATACATATTCTGTGACTTATAGTATACTAGCAGAGTACCCGTCCTTCGTACGGGGTTGGAATATAAGTATAAAATGCTTATTGCAGTTATACTCAAGCTTTGCGATTGCAATGGGTGGAGGACACAGTTTGATAAAATTTGCTTTTTTAAATTTACAGTATTCTATAGTATTACACATCTACCATAGCCATAATGTTCTACCATTTTACCTAAACAATAGAGAAAAATAAATTATCAATTCGCAAAATTTCACAAATTATTCATGAAATGAAAAACATATACATAACTGTAAACAATCCTACTTTGACAGTTCTCATTGCGAATCACAGTTTTTTGTTGCTGCTTAGTTCAAATTAGCTGTTTTCATAAATGCAAAAAAAATATAGTGCTGCACCCTGTTGGTAAATCTTATAACTTTTTAATGCTTTTCCATATCATAGAACCAACTTTTTTAGTTGAAACAGCTGACTAAATTCTTTAATTCCCTTTAAATATGAATACTCATAAGGTTAACATGGGGAATTACAGAGCCACTGGGGCGGAGCCCGAAAGGATTTTTGAGATAAGAATATGCCTATATGTTAATCGGGAATGTAAGCTATCATCATGCCAAATTTCAGCCCAATCCGTCCAGTGGTTAATGCGTGATTGAACTTCAAACAAACAAACAAACAAACACACAAACTTTCACATTTATAATATTAGTAAGATTGACTATTGACTGTTACGATGCTGTTCCAGGATGGTTTTGGATCCAAAAAGCGGTGGCAGCCATAACGACTACGGAAGCTTCTCCGGTGAAGGTGAGGGGGAGGGGGAAGGCTCAGCTCCAGTGACAGCAGCAGCAGCAGCAGCAGGGGTAGTGACGGGGGGAGGCGGCGGCCCGGTGATGGCTCAGAGTGACTTGTACCAGCGGCAACCTCTGCTGACCAGCGACACTCCATGCCAGGACGACGAGGACGACAAGATGGACGGTCTCAAGCGCAACACCATCAACTCCAACGGCGTCGTCAGGATAGATGTGGTGCCACCTCTACAACGCGAGGAACCGCGCTATCCCAAGGAGAAGATGAAAACATTTATAGGTAACCACTACAATTGTTTTATGTTAACAATTTCTGTTACACTTTTAATGTCATATACTTTTGAGATTTGAATTTCTTCAAACCATTTAGTTTATCCATTTATCTGAGCTACTGTATTTGGTAATTCAAATGCTGTGATTCCTGCTTAAGGTAGTTAAAGTTGTAGCAGTACAGTACAAACGATAAACAAACCAAAACAAACAACCAAACCAAAACAACCAAAACAAACCTATTTGAAGCTTTTTCCTTAAATTAAAACTACTAGCTTTCATGTTGATTCCATTATCACAAACAACATACGAAATAATTGACAAAGGAAAAAAATATTGTAAGTGAAATATCAGATAAAGTGATATTCAGCCAATCCGCCACAGGCCTAAGTTCCCTCGATAACTAACTAACTTACAGGGACTTATGGTAGCGAGAAATGTGTTGTTACGAGGAGTTGAGAAAATATGTGTTACACAGTGCAAACAAAGAGACACTACAGTGAAGTGAATATCCTTAAAACCTCATGGGTATTTCACAAGTACAGTAAAAGAGATTGTCTTTATGCACACGGTTTCACAATACTCAAAACATTCCTGATCTGTTGGCAAGGATATGATAGTGTTCATATCTTAGAGTAGTATTGCCACAGATAGGACCAGATAACGTGGATTGTTGGATAACATATGGATGGATGATCTACAAGACTCTACTGTGACTAGCTTTTGCTCTGAGGCTGGTGAAGGATTTGCATATCCATCTTTAAATTAAAACTTTTATCTGCCAATCAACAATTTAAAACAAACAACACAGAAACAATTAACAGCTGTTTTTAAGGATTTTAAATCAGCTATAGAGTACTGGTGACCAGTGTGATAAATTATGTGTACCTTTGTATCACCTTTGTCGTTTGTAAAAATCTCTCCATTATTACCAGAGGAGTAGTGTTTCGTAGAAATCGCCTTCACGTATACTGTATAAGGATTCTGGTCCAAGAAAATGTATACATTCATATCTCTATTGATGCTATGTTTATGTTGATGAGCTGTAGTTTGGTCACTCAGAATGGCGATTGCTGTGGTGTTTCAGCAATCCTGGTACTGTTGTTCCACATGGTATTGTCCACACTGTCCCTCGCTCTGATACATGATAGAGTGCCCGACCGGTCGTATCCGCCACTCCCCGACACGTTCCTGGACAACATGCCGACGGCAGACTGGGCCCTCGACGTCTCTGAAATACTTATCATGATCTCCATCAATGTCAGCACTGGAGTCATCCTCATGCACAAGCACAGGTAGATGCTGTACCACTAACTTTTAACATACAGGATGTTTTGTTAAGCACAACTCAATTTACAATTACAACTTTGTGTACTTGTAAAAAACTCATGGTTAAATGAAAGTATGAAGTTGGTAATCCCACTTAATTTTCTTTATGACTCATTGTCTGCTTTCTATTGTTGAATTTTTTTAATGCCCTATTAGAGTTATCTTTAATGTTACTGTACTAATTTAATGTTACAAACAAGAATCATAAAGTTTTCATTGTGTGAATAATTCAAAACAAATCTATCATATATCATTACTACCATATTCATACTATGTAATTATGCTAAAGAAGTCCTATCCTACCTTCCTCTCGTAATATATTTATTAGTTGGATTCTGAGAAGCAAAATTCATAAACAGTGGTTTGTTAATAATTTAAACTATGCATAGTATAATTTTTGGTGGAACAGTGTAGGACTCTTTAAAAACGGTTTTCATTTCTGACTGATTCCTAAAATAAATTACTGTAATTAGAAACAATTGTTTTTCATTACCATGTTCATGAAGGCAAACTGTAAGTGGTTTTCCCACCTATTGAAACATAAATGCATCTTTACTTTTGTTTATAAATAAATTGATTAATTTTTAGATAAAAAAGAGTGATATTTTCCAAGCACAAGCTATGGTGCAATAAGCGAATGGCATTTGCACGCACAAGCCATCATTGGCACAAGCGATCATATCATGACAATAGAATTGTATTTGTCATACACAATCCATCAAATCATGACAAAAGACAGTGGTATTCGCAAGGCGCAAGCCATCATTTTGTGGTCAAGAGAGAGGATCAGCTATAGTGGCAAATCATACCATAGTAATTCCTGCAAAATGGTAACTATTTAGAGACTAACTTGTTAGGCTCTTTAATGTTTCCTTAATCTTACTGGCCTTAATCTTACTGGCCTTAAGCTTCAGAGACGATAATCGTTCAACAATTTGTTAAACTATTTCCAATTGCTGCATGCCTGTAGCAAAATGAATGAGAACTCATAACTTGTGCTCAAATTTGGAGGTTAGGCTACTTTGTTTTTGGCTGTTGTATGTGGCAGACCTAGTGGAAATGCAGTTTCCTCAGTTGTTCTTAAGGGTTTGCTTTGACTTGAATGTGTTTTTGCAGGTTCATAGTGTTCAGACGAGTGTGTCTGATGCTGTCATTGTTGTATCTGATGCGCTCCATCACTATGTATGTCACAGTGTTGCCCATGTCAAGCAAGACATACGTGTGCTCACCAAAGGTAAGTCTTTGTAAATCAAACATGTTACATTTAACTCTTAAAATTCCTAGGATTATTAAGTATTTTAATACTGCCTAGTTACCGGCAATCATGATTCCCTCTTATTTTTTGGACAAATTTGTTGATAGACACTTGTAGTGAAAATGAGCAAAAGACTAGTAACAAAGAACTCACCCATACTGCCAACTTGTCTTGTACCCAAGCTGTCAGATCTCTTCCGCCTAGCTATGCCACAGACAGTTGAACTCATCATAAGTTACACACTAGACTTAAATGAGAAAGGACTCTCGATTTATGGTATTGCCTATAGGCTGGAGAGACAACATCTGAGACACACACACTGACTTAGCTTGCTTGTCATACAGGCACAGGGCTCAAGTCATATAACATAACCATGCCACCGCAGTTGTGAGGGTGTGTCTTGAATTATTCACAGAGTGACTATGACAAATAACTGTTTACAAAAGGCAGGCATTTTCAATACTGTAGTGTGTACTGTGCAACTTGGTAGCAGTGCACGCCAAGAAGAGGCATCATTAATTATGCTCAGGAATTTAACTGCCACAGCAAACCTGCATACTAAGTAAATTTCTATTTGCTGTATTGGATTTTACAAAAAATATTTTCTTTAAAGTTTCGGACTCATTACCTGTTTGGATAACATTAGCTTTGACAATTGCATAGTTTTTAATCTCCAAAGTTTGATTTGGAACACCAGTATACAAGTGTTATTGTCAACAGGAGAACCACACGAGTGCTATGACAGTTGCCAAGCGAGTGTTTCAGCTCATCTCTGGGTTTGGACTGAGTATCAATGGCAAACACACTTATTGTGGTGACTACATATACAGTGGCCACACCATCATGCTCACCATGAGCTACCTGATCATCAGTGAATGTTAGTATCCAACAAAGTATCAGTGTTTTGAATTATTAACTAAATTAGAAAAAGCCAATTTTTTATTTACACTTTGTCGTAAGACTGTTAGACTGCTTCTCTACATAGACATCATTTTGTTATTGACATTTATCTTTTAAACATTTAAAAGTTATTAGGTTTTCAATGCTCTCCTTCTAGAAATTGCCATTTGCAAGATCACATTTCATTGAGTTTGGGGTTAGTGTCAAAGTTTTGCAGGGAATGTTGCTGGAAGTCAACAGTCCCGGAAGATCAAATAATTTATACCTGTGCCGCTAGGTCAAAAACTACAATGTTTGCAGTGTCTGTAGATCAAAAGTCCCAGTAAGTCAAATAATACAGTCCGAGCTAAAAACGTGGTCTATGTTAAAGCAATTGACTTATTGGGAATTTGACCTAATGTAACAGCAGTTTTAATATAACGAAATACGGTAAAATACAAGTTCAGTTTCGCTGAGTCAACAGTGCCGGAAGATCAAAAGCAATAAAAGTGAACGTCGATTCAGTGTAAAGTAGACCTCCTGCAACGCTTACTACACCAACAAAACTCGCTTTTAGTTACTTCGTGTTTTGTCATAATTAGAATAGAGCTAAAATTATCATATTTGGTACATAGCTTATCTATTAATGCTTCTTGCCAACTGTTTGGTCAACACTGTAAATAGGTATAGCCTTTCGTCAAAATTTGTGGCATAAAATACCCGCAAGGACGATCTGAAAATTTCTGGTTATTATATACGTTTGTAAAAGGAGATCCATTTAATTGTAGAAATATTTTATGAGTTATGTAGTCTACATATAAACTGTGTAAATGTATTACGCCTCGGAATGGTTGAAACCTTTCTAAACTATCATATATATTATGAAAACGTAAATGGGGGTTTTTCACATTCTGAATCAACCAGTCGACGGATTTTTGTTATTTTTGTGTTGAAAGAAAGATAATTTTGAGAACTAGGGAAAGTCAAAACCATAATTATAATAATTAAGGGTCCCAGTTTTTTAGAAATTAAGTTTTAATTTTTAAAAAGTCTAGCAGCCGACACTAACCTTCTAAGCTAGCTTTCAGTACAATATAATTTGCTTAACATAACAGCTGTAAATAACTTTCAGCATTTGTGACAAAAAAATCAGGCATATGGAAACAAATTTAAAGACATATTTAGAGTTGATTTGTTTATACTATGTTTAATCCGACAATGTATATAATATATGTATCCAATAATATATCCAATAATGTATCAATGGTCAGCATTAATGCTGACCATTGATACATTCAATTCTTAGGTATGACGATGGCAGATTAATTAAATATGCATAGTAAAATAGTAGGATGTTCAAATTATTTGTTAAAGGGATCTTTGTAATCATCGATTTGTTTTAGTCCCATATAATTTGTTTTAACTAACAGCTGGTTGAATGTAATATTGTTCTATATAACTCCAGTATTAGGTTTTTGGCGAATTTCCCATATAGGGAATAAGCTATTACCGTAGTACTTATGGTAACACCTGGACCCGGGACCGATTTAATTTTTTGTTTTGAGGCCCCTAGAGGCCAAAAACACCATCCGTTCAAATTCATATATACAGGGTGATCAACTCAAGGAGGCCACCATTGGGAAATCGGAAACGGCAAGAATTAGAGAAAACTTTAAATGGGGGACATTCCTTTATTTTTTGTGGCAGTTAAAAATATGATTTTAGTTTTTTTATCATGTTTTCGGATAGAATATGCAGTTTAAAAACTTTTTTAGCCCTGACACTTTTTCGATAAACCCACTCGTTTAGGAGTACAGCCTATGGAAAAAATGACTTCCGGTGTATATTTTACATCATGTAGCTCCTAAACGAGTAAGTTTAGAGCAAAATTGCAAAAAGTAAATTAGTCCTAGAATTACATCTTCATTCCTTAAAGACTATAAAATAAAGTTTTCCACTTTTCAAGTTTGCCGCCATTTTTTAAATAATATAATTCATATTTTTAATGAATTTTATGGTCTTTTTGGAATGTGGATGCAATTGTAAGACTTTTTTACTCTTCTCATTTTTGCTATAAACTTACTTGTTTATGAGCTACATGATGTAAAATGTACACCGGAAGTCATTTTTACATAGACTGTAACTCCTAAACGAGTGGGTTTATCGAAAAAGTGTCAAGGATAAAAAGTTTTTAAATTGCCTATTCTATCCGAAAACATGATAAAATATAGGGTGTTCCATGAGAAATTTCAAATTTGGCCGCTGAAATTCAAAAAACTAGATACAGTAGTCACCACTCTATGCGACTTATTCTAACCAGAAAATTGTAATCGTATGATTCTATAAGCATTGGTAGGATTGCAAAGTACTACACAAACATTATTTCAAGGGTAATAACAGTCACAATTTCCGCTGACTTTATAAGAGCCAACTAAAATAATAATACTAAAATAATAATACTACTAATAATAATACTACTAATAATAATAATAATAATAATAATAATACTAATAAATATTAATGTAATTATTATACTAATGGACACACAACTAAATGGAACAACTAATGGAAATACTCACGATGTACATATAAAAGTTCGATATAAGCATTGAGTATACACGTCAGTACATACGTGTGTATACCCAATGATATAAGCAACGGTTCTTGCAATTTATTTCTTTTTGTTTTTTAGAGTTGTTTCCGGACTTACTCACACTCATATAAGATTGTCCACGTTTGTCATTGATAATGTAGCCATGTTACACCCGTTGTCACGAATATGTTTACAATTTTTCCGTCTGTTTTTGAATAGCAATACATTTTTTCACATACTTAAGAATCGCCTGATTTCGTGCATTACATGTTCGTCTCAATTTTATTTGCTTTAGTAGGCATTCTTTTGGTTGATGAGGACTTCAATCGGTCCTTTCAATGATTGCTCATGAAATATAGTACTTTGTCCATTAATTTTTATTGTTTGGTAAAATGGATTAAATTATCCAGCAAACCCAAATTGAAATAGTAAATATAGTATTTCAAACAAATCAGTAACATGTTAATAATGTAGCCTACATTATTTCCTTGAATTGCGTAACAGCAATTACTTGAGCTGATCCTAATATAAATAAATCAATATGTTCTTCATAGGCATAACATGGGTTCTTTAAGAGCCACTGGGGCTGAGCCCAAGGGATTTAAAAAATGTAAGGTTAGTAAGGTTGGTTTGTAAATGTACGTGACACGCTCTTTCTAATGAGACATGAATGGTCAAAATCGTCCTAAAAACTCGGAGGAGTTCAACGGAAAAATTTTGTGTTGGCGTTATACAGTATGGTTGAAAAGTCCTGGATTGGCTATATTTTTTTAACAATATAGATAAAGTAGTGAGACTTGGTATATCAATAATAGCCATGAATATCTACTGTCTTAAGCTATTATCATTATTTATCCCTTAAGGGGGATGGACCACAAAGACTGAGACAAAATTCTTATATAATTTTAATACTGTTTTACCTGTTTTTGAAATGGCGACCATACAAATTTATGCATTTTAAGCCAAGTATGAATGGAAATGAGTGTGTGATGAGTGGAGCGATCTTGTTGTCCTGTTAGTGACTAAGGCCGACATAATCCTTAGACACAGCTGTTAATTATTAGTCCATACAGTCAATTAATAGCAGCAGAGGTCAAGTTTGGTATCAAATTAAAGGTTTTATTCACAAAAATACATTGCCGCAAACCCAAACTCAAACGATGATGATGATAATAATGTTAATGATGTAGGCTAAAACGTATCGTTTGAAATTTAACAGCTAAAAATAAGTGAAATAGAAAAGGTTTTGGTTAAATCCATCAAATTGTAATTGGACACTATTTTATAGTAAATACTAGTGCACTTGTTGCTACCTCCCCCCTTCGGTTTCATGTATTCCTCTCAATCAGTTCAAACCTAGGAGGATTAAGCATTAATGTTAATTAATGTTAAATCCTCCTAGGTTCAAACCTGAAACACCCAGATCGAAACTCGCCTGACGTTATTTTAACACCACCTTATTTTTTTACTATATTTTCAAAAAATAAAAATTATATTGATTTACTTTGGATTTTAAAAATGTGAACGTTTTATTTCATTAAAGATTTATGGTGATACGTAAATATTGTGGTGTAGTAAAGTATATTATATTGTAGTTAAGTGTTAAATTTTGAAATTTTAGGGTGAATCGAGATGCATCTTTTTATAACATGGGTCTCTCCTACCTTAACATACATAGGTACCAAGTTTCATAAAAATCGGTTGGAAAAGTGTAAAGATAAATATTTGTATGTAAAAAATTAGTAATAAGTATCTCCCCGCTTATTTTTAACACCCTGTTTATGATGTATTCTTATAAGTGAAAAATGTAAGCTGGTAATACAGAAAGATGTTTTATAAATAATATGAATGTACTGGTGATCTGTATATTCATCTTTTTCTTGTCCTTAGAACTGTAAAATTAAAAGTCCACTCAGCAGTCGCATCGTACGATGTAGTTCTTTCCATGCGTTGCGAAATGCTAAATTATTCGTCCTCTTCAACCTAAGTTATCTATTGAACCACTGATTGTAAAAAATCCAAAAAAATATATTTTACGCATCACACTTTTGGCTACAACTTTGCCACAGACAAAACCTCTCTAACCCAAAAACAAAAAAAAATCTCGCATGCTAACTTTTTCATGTTAGAAATCACGATTTAAAACTATTTCACCATACATATCAATTTTTATTAATTAGATCGGTAAATAGTTTAAAGTTCCAACAAAATAGTCATCGAGTAGGACTAACCAAGAAGCTCTGTGCAAAATTTCAAAATTTTAGCACAACTTTAAGTACACCAAAACACGAAATTATTGAAGTCATGCGTCGAGAGGACTATCGTTGTTTTTAACAGATTATACTTTTGACCTTCCGGCACTGTTGACTCAGCGAAACTGAACTTATATTTTATCTTATTTCGTTATATTAAAACTGCTGTTGCATTAGGTCAAATTCCCAATAAGTCAATTGCTTTAACATAGACTACGTTTTTAGCCCGGACTGTACTATTTGACTTACTGGGATTTTTGATCTACAGACACTGCAAACATTGTAGTTTTTGAGCTAGCGGCACAGGTATAAATTATTTGACCTTCCGGGACTGTTGACTTTCTGCAACGCGTCCGTTTTGCAGAGTAAACAATGCTGAGATAAGATGTTAGTCCCTTACTATCAAATCCAACGTGTTCAGCCAAAGATTTAAGATTTCCTATCAAAACCATCCAATAAATCTTGGGTCAAATTTTTCTCTATAAACTGGTGTTGTGTGAAAATAAACCATTTAAATGCCAATTTTTCCATACTCTTTTTTTATTGCTCAGAACCAATGCGGACGTTTGTTATACCATTCAATTTTTTTTTTAGATCTAGCCTATAACAAAATTTCCTAAACAAGTTGTGGCACATACAAGGTTTTTTAATGGATTCTACTTTAACAAACTAAACTTTTTCTTATACACTAGAACCCCGCTAATCCAACCTTGGCTAGTCTGACTCCTCACTTAATCCGTCCGTTCCATCACCTATCGGTAACAATTTTTCTGCCTAATTTCGTGACTATTTGCCATGGTCGTATGGAGATCATTACCGTCTCTTGCAATCGTGGCAAAATTTTGTTTATCCGCCTTGATCAATTATCAATTATTATCAATTATCAATTAGTTAAGATGGGGACGCCCGGAAACATCATCATCGTTTTGCGCTGTCATCGTTATCCTCCATGATCGTGGCAAAATATTGAACTTTTCCTGCGGTCACGGAAACATTATCATCATCTTCCAGGATAGTTAAAAAATCCTAGACAAACCCGACAGTTCGGGAAGGAATCATCAGTCTTCGGCGATCGCGGCAAAATCTTGAAACTCCCCTTAAAAATCAATACATCCCCTTGGATGTATCGATATTATCATTGTCTTCCACAATTGCAGACAAATAAAAAACTTTTCCCAAACTTTTGGGGACATCATCATCATCTTTAGCAATCACAGAAACTTTATCGTTGTTAGGGGTCTATGCGACCGTGGAAACTCCTGAATATCTCATGCGGTAAAGGAAACATCATCTTTACCTTCCACAATTAATTGTTGCATGATCTGGAAAGTTCCCGGTGATCATAGTAACATTATCATCATGTTCCGCAATCAAGAAATGCCTGTTTTAATCAATCATTTTATATGTTCTTGGATCATCTGACCTTTTCATGGTTCTGATCTGACCATGTGGTCCCAGTCCCGTGGGCAACGGATTGAAAGCAATGGAAATTATCATTATAGTGGCTAAAAGCTGAAAAAGGAGAATTCAATAGGCAATGCCAAGAAATTTTGAAAAATCTAATCGTAGCTGTTTCTAAAAAAAGGAGTGGGATATAACTATCGAAATTCCGTAATTTTATTTAAAATTTTTTGCATAATAATCTCCTAAAATTTTTTGACACTGACTACCAAATACCCTACTTACAGTGGCGACGCTTCCATAAGGGCCAAGTAGGCTGGGCCCACCCAAAATAAACAGTAAAGTATATTTTTAAATACTTTATATGTTATTTGGTTGATATTATTCAATTAACTGCCATATAAATTAATTTTGAACTTTCAACGGGTCATAACTTTTGTTGAAATACAATGCAATCATCTCGTAACACATTGGAGGGCCACAGATTTCGGGCCCTTCTAGTCACCATAAAACGTAAAGGACAAGGCAACGCCAGCCGGCGGCGCTTGACTATCAGCATAGCCGTCTCTGCTATCAGGGAACAATGCATTGGTATATGGAGCAGGGTGGGCCGATTTGAGCTGGCCCACTGGACATTGATTCTCAATATTCTCGCTGGGAGTGCTGAGCGCTAGTGTAGCTTTGTTTACATCCCGCCGTGTATGTTGTTTTTAGTAAGTTTTGTGATATTATTCGTACAGATTTATTAGAGTACCCATATTACGGTTTAAGTGATCATAAATTTAAAGGCGTGATGGTGATGTTATTGTGAAGTGTGTTTGTGTTCAAGTTCAAATGGGGTTAGGCCTGCATCAACGGTACTGCAATCTTCAGAATTGTCAGTTATTATTAAAAAATGTAATTCTTGCCATCATTGAAATATTAAATTTAGAGGCTTAAATAACTTTAAAATTTTTTAACGAACCCAACTTACAATCAGGTTCCTCAAATGATTTAATTTATAACAAAAATTTCAACAACCCCCCCCCCCCCCCATACCGAATGATCCCACCCCGCAATGTCCCACTAAGGCCCACCCTACTGTTCAGGTAAAGCGCCGCCACTGCCTACATATTTGTGAGTTTGTCATTAAAAATTAAAGATGTACAATACTTTTGTCAATTCGATAACAAACTTGAATCATAGTATGCTTTTGTTTGTGTGTTAAAATATACAAAGCCCTCTCACCAGCCGCTACTCGTTCTTATCCATTTTGTTGAGTAACTAAAAATAAGTGTATCTTACGGTTTTTGCAGACTCTCCAAAAAGGCTGTGGCCGCTTCATTGGGCCTCATTTGTTGCCTCGTTTGTTGGTGTAATCTTTGTGTTGGTTGCCCGAGGCCACTACACTGTGGATGTCATCATCGCCTACTGGGTCACCACTCGGATCTTCTGGATATATCACACCCTCGCCAACCACGCATCACTCAAGGTACAATCAATCTAAATCTTTACTTCCTACCCAGATTTGAGCTAGCGAGAGTTGACTAATGACTACCTATAGTATACATTAATTGCTTGACTGTTTTATTAAGAAGTTATATTTTTACTGCTGTCATATGTGTTACTTGCTTGGTGTTCTTGAAGAATCAATTACAGTAGACCTCCTCTTAACCGACCCTAATGGAACCTAGGTTGGACAACTCAAAAGGTTGGTTAAAACAGGCAACCCCTAATTACTTAAAAAAGTTAAGTGCTATTCATTTGGAATTATATAATCATTTACCTGAAGTTTTGTGAGCACTATTTACAAAATAAACTACACCTATCTCCTTTTTTTCTTAAGTAACTTATTAACGATAGAAGAGTTACAAATAAACCCAAAACACGTTAAAGTCAAATAACTTAATAATACTTTCAGTGGAATAAATTATAGTCGTAGGCAAGAGTCAATAAAAATTCTTATTTTAATATATTCAGTAATATTAATTTATACTTTCTAGATCAATCGTAATTCAGTACAGATTTTATTCTCAAAAGATACAAGCAACCATTTTGTTATGAACAGGATGTTCATTTATAACAATATGCAATTATTTTTTAGGATAAATACAAAAAAATGTATTCTTAGTAACATTCTGAAGAGTTTAGCGTATTGATTCTATCACCAAGCATGGGAGTGGAATTGCCGAAATTCCGGCGGTTAAACCGAACTGCTCTCTAAACAAGGTCAGTTAAAACAAACTGTAAAATTTTACGAGTGACGGTGGATAATCAGATTATCAGTTAGTGCAAGGTCGGTTAACACGTTCACTGCGGTCGCGGGAGCGGCTGATGTCCTGCGTGAATGCGTGCACGAAAACGATTAAATTGAGTTTCACACTGCATCCCGCTAGTTGTGGACGTAGTGTTACAAGAACCCATCAGATAATAGAACTAAAAAAACTGCTAGCAGGCCCTCAGTATGACCAAATTGAGGGAAAAGCAGGGGCGAAGTACCCGAATACACCATAAAAAATACCGTAAAAATGGGGTCAAGCGCAATTTTGAGGTTCAGTTCCTTCCACAGTGCTACACTTCAGTCATTATCGTTACTCTATTCCATATCACTAAATCTTGGGACTACCCCTCGAGGTCCCGGGTTCAAATCCTTGCCAAATCACCAATGCATTTTATCTAAGTGATAATGCCGCAACCCCTAGGTCTCTAGCCTGAAGTAATGTGAAATACAATCTGGGCCTCTTAAGAAAAAAGCATCTTAGCATCTTAAGAAAAAAATCACTAAATCCAAGCCTCCCCACACTACAATAAATTTGGAACAGTCCCACCACTGATAAATTAGTTGGATCTAAAATTGAACTATACCGGATTGAAGTATAAAACTGGCAAAATATGTGGTAAGTGAAACAACTTCTTACGGCATAGTTAATCTCACACTGGAACAATAGTTTGTAAACAGCGCTTTGACGAGTATACTCGTCGCACCTCTAGAAAGTGCTAGTGGTGACGAGATTACTCGGCATGCATGGCCAAAGTGTTAAGAGGGGGTCTACTGTAATATGAAAATACCCCCGCCAGAGCAAACCTGCAGACTAAGTGAGTTTCTATTTGCCTGGATTTTTATTAAAATGTCTCTTTATAAGTGTCAAGAGTTTAGCAACATAATAACAAGAGTTTAGCAAACAGCTTAGGATTGCTGCTATATGGAAGGTTATTAAGTGTTTTAGTGAAATGTGAATAGTTTAGTATGAAATAAATAGTTTTGACCATTAAACGCATAACAACACTCTACTTTGCTAAATTATTTGTTTTTTTGAGCTCTACAAAATAGTTATTGCAAAACTTTATGTTTTTAGGGTAAAAAATAAAAAAAAAACTATTATTACCCAATAAATACCCTCCAAAACCCAAGAAATGTAGAAGATTAATTTGTTTTTTTTTTTATGTAAAGAAGGATAATTATTTACAGTAGCAAGATTATTTTAATTGAGAAGAACAATGGGGTCTCATGTGGATTTATTATTAAAGACTGAACTAACTTATGAATTGACAGTTAGGGGTGTAAAAGTAGATTCTTCAACAAACGTAGACACATTGAGAAAACAATTGAGATCAGTTCTAAAATTAAATATAGATCCTAACCCTATAAACTTAAATAAACTGATTGTAGTTGCCGAAGAAATTAGTACCATCGAAGTAGCTACAGCGGATTTATCAGTTAAAATCGAAGATTGCATCAAGAGTAAAAGAGTAGTTGATTTTTTAAAATGTAAAGCTAAACTAAATCATTACAAATTAAGAGTCAATATGTTGAGCAATTTTAAAGTAAGTGAAGAAGTTAAAAAGCTAATTGAACAAGCTAAACAGTCCCTGTTAGAATGTGACAATAGCCTAAAGAAAGTAGATGTAGATAAGGAGCTTGAATCAGGAATCGAACGTAAATTAAGTGAATCGGTACGGTAGAGGAAGGAGAGGAATTAGAAGTCAAAATTAAATAGCTCAGTAGAGTCCAAAGAAGAATCAAGTAGTATTGAATCACACATGTTTGCTAAGTTGTCTAATCCTATAGAAAATCTGTGAAAATATTTAAAGCCAACTAATGGATTAAATGTAAAAGAACTTTTGGATTTTATCAGGACAATGAGTTAGATAAGGAATCAAACCTTTCTTATCGTCAAATCCTTGACACAGTTTTGGGTTATACAACCGGTCCCCTGTATGATAGGCTAGTAGAATGTAAACAAATGGGTAAATCTCTTGAAAGTGTGCATATTTTGCTACTAGATTATTTTGTACCCTTGGGGCTGAGGGAGAGCCTAAAAAGAGAACTTGTGACTTGCCCACAAAGGATAGGGAGCCCTTAAATATGTACATTTTGGAAGTTAAACAAAATTCAGAGATGTTAAAAACATGTTTTTTCTGAAAAGGACTTGGTTGATTTAATTAAAATAGGACTGAATCCAGAAACTAGAAGTCGTCCAGTCTTTGCAAGTAATCCTACAACATTTGAAGAGCTTAGTAAGTTGTGCATTCTCGACCAAAATGTACGTTTTGAGGATTTTAGACAAAGTAAGAATGTTAAGTTGCCGCCTTATCAAAATAGGAGTGCAAACGTGAATTTTTCCTCAACTCCTAGGAAGTGTTACTCGTGTGGAAAGCTAGGACACATTGCAAAATCTTGTTATGCTCAGCGTAGTAGTAACAACAATGCTAACAAAAATCATTTTCAAAGCTCTAACACTAAGTATGATCCAAAAAACGGGCCTCAGGGGAGCGTTTTGACAGAACAAAATTAAATCAGGACCTCTCCCACTTTCCATCACTAGTGTTTTTCAACCAAAAAAGAAGGAAGCGTTTTCTTAATAATGTAGAAAAGAAGAAATTTAAACAAAATGTGAAAAAATGAGTTAATTTCTATAGTAGATAGACAGGAACAATGTTATAGTACTTTGCCTACATTAAAAGTAAGTTTTGGTAAGAAAGTGTTGGAAAATGCATTAATTGACACGGGAAGTTCAATAAATTTAATTAATGAGTTTATGCTAAGAACTTTTAACAGCAAAGAATATTGTAACTGAAATAACCCATGCGGATATTGATTGTAAAACAGCAGTAAATACAGCTATTGAAATAATAGGCAGGTGTAGGACGAAGATTAAGATAAATAAATTTTCTTGGTATATGGACTTTGTAATAGCTAAGAGCTTAGCCTGGAATGTAATACTCGGTGCAGACTTTATAAGAAAAAGCCAAATGTTGCTAAATTTAAGTGAAGACCGATATAGTTTTGGGTTTGAGCCGGATTGTAAATTAGAGTTTGCAAGTAATGCGTCTGTGATTGTTCATAAAACTTCAGACAGTAAAATAAAAGTTGGATGTAACAAAGCGTTATCGGATGTCACTAAATTGATAACAGAATTCCCTAATGTGTTTACTGATAAAATAGGCAAAGCCTTAAATTTTGAGTACACAATTAAGCTCAAAGATAAGGACCCAGTTAATTTAAGACCTTACCAGCTTAACCCACATAAAATGCAGATAATGAAGGACTTAATAGACGACCTGCTTAAGCAAGGAGTAGTTGAACCTCCTCTGTCCAGTTAGTTACGCAAGTCCAACGTTTTTAGTAAAAAAACCAAACAGTGACAAATACAGGCTTGTTGTTAACTATTCCGAGCTAAATAAGAAGATAGAAAGAGTCAATTATCCTATAGGCGACATGCATGCTATTTACCACTACTTGCAAGGGAGTGAATACTTCAGCGTAATCGACTTGTGCAACAGTTTCCATCAAATTAAACTCAGCGAAGATTGTAGGGACTACACAGCCTTTGTAACCCCTTTTTCACAGCTAAGATTTTGTAGGATACCCTACGGTCTACATTTAGGTTCCTCGTTGCTAAGCAGTTACATGAATGAAGTATTAGAAGGCATTAAATTTAAGTTCGTTATTAATTTTGTAGATGACTTGATTATATACTCGAAGACTTATGAAGAGCACATGATTCATTTAAGAGAAGTAATAACCAGATTAAATGCCCACAACTTGACTGTTAACCCGGAAAAAGCTGATTTTGTATCTAAAGAAATTAAGTTTTTGGGGTACTTGGTATCTAAAGACCAAATCAAAATCGATCCTGATAGAGTCATAGCAATAAGAGATTTTAAGCCACCTACAGATGCCAAAGCTCTCAGTCGATTTTTAGGCATGACAAATTATTGGTCAATGTTTATTGATCTACGGAGGAAAGACAAAACGTTTATTTGGAACAAAAATGTCAAATCAGTTTTGAGAAGCTTAAACAAAGCATAATTGAGCCTCCAGTCTTGTCTATACCTAATTACGACCTACCATATTTTACATTGAGACGCCAGTGACAGAGCCTGCGGTGCATGCCTTTTACAAAATCAGGACGGCATAAACCACCCAATAGCATTCTATTCTACAAAATTCTCAGATAGCAAACAATGTTTATCGATATATGAAAAGGAAGCGCTATCAATGGTTTGCGCAATCAACAAGTTCAGGAAGCTGTTAGAAGTCAGAGAATTCACTCTTATCACTGATAACAGCGCACTAGCATTTGTACTCAGTCACTTTAAGAAATTAGGTAAGCTAGGGCGTTGGGTCGGTACTATTTTGTCTTTGCCATTTAAGATTGTGTTAGTAAAAAGCCAAGACAATGTAATCGCAGATTTCTTATCAAGAATATTTGATAAGCATGACATGGAACCAGAAATTAATGTAAATAATGTAAAAAATATTGTAAATATAGATCTAAGTAAAATCAAATTAAATGAGTCAAAAATGCCAAGTGTACAGTATGATATAGACATGAACAAAGTAGTCAATATATGCAACAATATCAAGGATTTTCCTCTAAGTTTTAAAGAGCTAAAGGAATATCAGCTACAGGACCAGGAAGTAAGAAACATTCTATCGTGTTTGAAAAATGGTGAAGCTAAAGACAATTTTTCAATGAAGCAAGGAGTTCTAATAAGAGTGCGGAGAAAATCTATTTACCGGAAATGCTACTAGACATGGTTTTTAAATACTTTCACGATTCTTACATCGGTGGACACCTAGGTATTTTCAAAACTGTGAAGAAAATAAATCAGTATTTTTATAGGCCTGGATTAATACTGGAAGTGACAAAAAGAGTAAAAAGTTGTAAGCTGTGTGCACAAGGAAAACCTCCTAGGCGAGTATATAACGGACCTCTCGTTACTTCAGTGTCTAACAATGCTATGGATAAACTTTACATAGACACCTATGGTCCATTGATAAGAACTAAAAATTTAAATAAATATTTGTTGATTGTTGTGGATGACTATAGCAAGTTTACTTGGCTCTGTCCCCTGAGAGAATGTACTAGTAAATGTATAATTAAAGCGATGGAAAATAACGTTTTTAAACATTTTTCTGTATGCAAAGAAATAGTAAGCGATAATGCTAAATATTTCGTAAGCAGCAAGATTAAACGCTTTTTGTTCAATAAAGGAATAGTTCACCGGCTAACAATCCCGATGGTTCCTAGGCAAAACAAAAGCGAACGGTATCTCAGGAATTTGAAAGCAATTTTCCAAATTGTTTACCACAAAAATCAGAACCAGTGGGACGCAAATTTGGATGAGTTGCAGCTAGCAGTGAACAGTGCTGTAAACGAAACAATATATGCGCCACTCTTTAACTCTTCAAAAAAACATCACTCTTCAATACTTGGTATATAAATAATAGCTATAAATGTCTATTGTTTTAAGCTATTATCACTTGTTTATGCCTTAAGGGGGATGGCCCACGAGGGGTCAGACAAAATTCTTAAATAGCAGCATAGGTCGAGTTTGGTATCTAATTAAAGGTCTTAGTTAATAGAATACATTGCCGCAAATCCGAACTCAAAAGGACAACTAAATAAAAAATGACAGATGTTAAAAGATTCATTGAATTTGCATTGCTATTCTACGCTACCTCATCAAGGGGCAACCGCGATAATTCGGAAGAAAATTATTAACTAAGCATCTAAGGTCAACATGCACATCAAATTAAAGGTCTTATGTAGTAGAATACAATACTGCAAATTTGAGCTCAATAGAACAACTGAGTAAAAAATTACAGCTGCTCAAAGATTCAAAATGGCAGATTCAAGAAATAGTTTAACGGCTGGCATTTTTGACTCAATTGTCCGTTTGAGTTCGGGTTTTTAGCAATGTGTTCTACTAACTAAGACCTTAATTAAATACCAAACTCAACCTATGCTGCTATTTAAGAATTTTGTCTGACCTCTCATGGGCCGTCCCCCTTAAGGCATAAAAAAGTGATAATAGCTTAAAACAGTAGATATTTATAGCTATTATTTTTATACCAAGTATCATTACTACATACATACATACATACATACAGGTTCCTCTTCTCCGTAGTCTTGAAGACCAGGGAATTGTCAAATCTTGAGGTTAGGGTAGGTGTGTTTGTGTGTGTGTGTGTGTATGTGTGTGTGTGTGGGTGAGTTCATTTGTTGAGATGTTTGTGGTCGTCAAAGAAATCTTTTAGGGTGTAGTATGGTCTTTCAATCAGGTATTCTTTTAATTTTCTTGTGAAGGTTGTTGTGTTGGCTATTTGTTTAAGGTAATCAGGGAGGGCATTGAAAATTTTTGATCCAGCAATTTGGGGGGTTTTACTAGTTTTAGTTAGCCTGTGTTGTTGTATGTCGAAATTTAGATCTGTGTTCCTAAGTTTATATTTATGGCAGTCTCCTCTGGTTTTTGGGGGGTTTAGTTTGAGAATTTTGGTGGTTTCTAGGATATAGATGGATGTGATGGTTAGGATCCGGTTGGAAGTAAAGTAGGGTTTGCAGTCTGTTGATGGTTGAAGGCATTCTATCGTCCTTATGGCTTTTTCTTGGAGCGATATTAGCTTATTTATTTGTGTGATTGAGGCAGATCCCCAGGCGATAATGCCAAGCCTAATATGGCATTCAAAAAGGGCGAAGTAGGCAATTTTGGTAGTTTTCTTGTTGGTGATGGACCTTATTCTTCGAATTGCAAAAAGAGATGATGAGAGTTTGCTGTCCAGAGAGGATATGTGGTCATGCCAGTTTAAATTGCTGTCGATGGTAATGCCAAGGAATTTAGTTGTTGTGGCTGAGGCTATGGGTTCTGGTTTGCTTGGGTTGGCAGGGGGTAGTGTGTTGGTTCGGTTGATTGTTGAGAAATTTACGTTGATGGTTTTGGATTTGTTAATTTGTAGGTTTAATGTGGAGCAGATGTCGGTAGCCAGTTTGAGGGTCTCTTCAGTGGTTGAGTTCTCATTTTGAGGTGAAGTTGGAGATAAAATGGTGGTGTCATCAGCATACATTATGATGGTCTTGTCCATGGGTAGAAAGTCCGGGAAAGAGTTTATATAAATAATGAAGAAAAGGGGTCCAAGGATGGAGCCTTGGGGAATTCCTTGTATTGTTGTTGTGAGGGTGGATCTTGTTTTAATTTTGAAGGATTTTTGTTGGTGTTCAATTTCGACTTGTTGGTTTCGATCTGAGAAATAGCTGATAATCCATTTAAGAGCCAGGTTATCGATGTTGAGTTGTCTTAATTTGTTTATTAGAATGGTTCTGTCAAGGCTGTCGAACGCTTTCTGGAGGTCCAGAAAGATTCGTTCCAGAAAGAGAAAGATTCCAGAAAGTACACAGAAAGGTTACTTTATCTTTATTAGTAACAAATATATTTAACTGTTCCGGGACTTTTCTACCACCCTGTATATGTGTTTCTACTGTTATTGGACGTATTTTTATTTATTTTTTGTTAGTAAAACTCCTCAAATTCACCAAAAAATAAATATAAATATAGGTTTTGAAATCCCGTTAATCCCAGGATCAAGACCCCTAATTGTATAGGTAGTTGTGGTGTATCTAATTTAGTGTTTTGTGTGTTGAGCAGAACAGAAGTCCCAACAACCTGTTGTCGAGAGCCTGGTGGTTCAGGATATTCCAGTACTTTGAAGGCAACGTGGGAGGACCTCTACCACGGGTCCACGACTGGCCGCTGCCTTGGCCTCGGCGGTTCCTCGCCAAACATCCCAACCGTGACAGTTAGTACGCATCCAACCAGGACAGCTAGCAACTGTAAGATTTGTTTCTTCGTGGTTTGGAAAAATCGTTAGTACCTTACAGCTTTTTACAACTTTTTTTATCTTAACATTTTCTTTATACATTTTGTTGTTATTTACATTACTGAGTAAATCTGTGAGTAAAACTGCATGTCTATTTTTTTAAACTACCATCGTATTTAGGTTACTTTTACATCGTTCAAATCGATAACTGTTACAGTGAAAGTTAGGACATTTAGTTATGTATAACTTATTTATAATCTTAACCTTAGAGTTAACTAATCAATTGATTAAAATATCAGTGTGTATTTACAATCACATGTTCTTTGGTTTGAATCTTTTAGACCAGTGTAATCTGTACCTAGTTCTACAAGAAAAGAATTTTACTACAACTAAGTTGGTACTCTCTTATGTGCCAGTATTTTATAATATAATCGTGCATTTAATTACATAACTTTGGACGAAAATGTTGTAGAAAAAGTATTTAAACATCTTTTTGGAGTTTGCCAAATAATATATACAAATATTGAAAAATACCACTTACGAGAATAGTAGTCTGTAAATAGCTACTAGTTAGCTGATCTATAGACATAATAGCTAGAAAAATATGTATCGGTTTTATTTGTCCTACTAGGGTTTTCATTGTAAATTCACTGGTAATGTTTCTGTAGGATCTTTGAATTAATAACTCTTAAGACTGAACTGTGATCATGTAGTAAATCCATTGAAAAGGTTTAAACAATAGGTGTTGATTAGTACCAAAAACAATTGCAAGTTTGTCGACTTAGCTGATGTATTGTTAAGATAAATTGTCATGCAGCATCATTTGTTTAACTGCCTTGAGGTAATAATTTATTTGATAATCTATGTGATCTTTCTTTTATGGTAATTACTTTGTCACATCCTGTCTATAGTGTACATGAGACTGTAAAGCTACTATCCGCTTATCCCACTAAAACAAAATACTAAGTGAAGAAAACTATGAATCTTTTACAACAGGTTTGGCTTTAAATCATAAGTTTTAAATTTCAGACCCTTACCTCAATATTAATTATTTCTATATTATCTATGTAGCACAAACTTGCAATTCCTCAAAGTTATAAGGTTATTAAAATTGTATCTAATCATTTAAAACATGCGTGTTCTTAGTTTTCAAATATGATAGGAATTCTTGTACTGTACAAAGTTTTGTAGACCTAGGATGCAGAGTGTTGCTAGTGGGGCTACCTGAGTTGTAAATAATACCTGCTTAGGCTAGGCATATCTAGTGTCTTCCGTTAGCCTCTTTCCATCAGGTCTTTGGTTATTGATTGCTGTAAATACTTGTATAGGATGTGGATGTATATTATGTTTGAAATTTGTTTGATTCAATTGGAATAATTTTCATCTTGCATTGCCTACTGCATCATTCAATTTACATATAAATGGTGTTGTATTTGGTTTTAAACAATGTTTAAATAGTGAACTAGAAATATGATCTGAGATAAAATTTACAATGATGGGTTTATCTATTCAAGGACGCCTACAGAAATTCTTTTAGGGGAACACTGGAATGTTCTTCCAGGGTTCCCGAAAAATGCCCCTGCTAACAATTTTAATATAAAATGTACCAAAACATATTTTTTATATGTGTAAAAGTTGGAATTCTCTTAAAAAACATTTATAATATAGGCTACTTGTTTGTCTCTACAATATTTATACATATATTTTAAACTACTAAAAACAAGGTATAAAATTTAAACAAGTGTTAAAACTAAAAGTGATCCATTTAAAATAAAAGGTCAAAATATTTGTTCTACATTTAAAGGATGATTTACGTATAAAGAATCTGTTTTAAATACATTTATTTTTTTCCTTGACTTGTTTAACTGTGCTTCTATATATTTAACTGTTTCTAATAGAACTTATTACTTATTGAGGTTTCTTATTCAGATAGTTATTTTATCTCTTTCTCTTGTGTAAGCCTTTTGTTACATTATTTTGGTTGTGATTATTCACCAATTACGCTGATTTATTTTATTTATCTCAGGGAAGACCATGCCTCCCTCTGTGGGCGTCCATGTATCAACAACTTATATTAAACTTCCCAATTGTTATTGTAAATACTTTTCACATACTAACGTTGTTGGCTTCAAACAGTATTCAATAACAATATATTACTCAAAACAGCCAAAATAACACACCTCTTCTATATACAAAAATTTTTTTATTGTTTAAAAATAGCAAAAGTAGTTTGTCTCATAAACGTAATTTAGTAAATTGTACTTTTGCAACACCACTAAGAAAATAGTATATTTGTAAGAAGTAGAATTATGGAGCAATAAAATTGTATCCTCTTTTTGTTACAATCTTTCAGAATTATATTTTTTATAAAGTACAAACCTAGAGGAAAGCTATAAAGTTAATGCATATTGATGTATCTTTAATTTATGTTGATTATGCAACCAAAATTACAACAGCTGACAATCATTTTGGCGATAAACTATGATCATTATTATAAATTTTGGTCGATAAACACAATTTTTAAATGAAATTTTCATTTCATGCAAGACTAACCGACCTGTGCGAAGCATTCACACTGAATCCTTCTCTAATCCCACTTATTAAGGTACACAACATAGTTAATTCTGCGTAGTAAGTGCATCGTTGATTAAAGTATGGTTTCTTACTTCAGGAATAGATGTAGGTTTACATTTTAATTAACCTTTTCAAAATATACTGTTAAGTTATTTACATTTTTACATGTTTACAGGACCTATTTGAACACTATTTTTGAAGTATGCAATAATTTGGTAATTTACGATTTTTCTTTTGGTGGCTTTGTAATTACACAAACATAGTTTTCACTGAAAAAGCGCACCCTTGACAAAGCCACACAAACTGAATGGGTAAAAAAAACAGAGTCTGGTGCGTGCAACCCTTCCTTTGTTACCGTTTGTCCATATACCTTATTTAAAGTCATTGCAAAGGTTGCTTTTAAGGGAAATTCCTTCTTAGTCAGTTTGAAAAGATTACGGACTATTGCGTAGCATGACAGTTTGACCGGAGTCAGCCAACTTCACTTTCATAGAGTATGTGTCCAAGTGAGCTACAGCTAATCTTGGACCATGCTTAGGTTTCTCATCAACATGATAATAGAGTTCTTTTTAGGATGGGTTTATGAGCTAACAAACCTAAAGGGCTTAGTGAGTAAAAAAAAAAAACAAAAAAAACTAATGGATGTGTTCTACGTCCCTTGGTAAAGAACCGAATCAAAACTGATTCAAACCGTTTCCTGTCAGTAAGAAATTCAACACAAAATAACTATTCAAGTTGAAACTTGAAGTTAAGAAAAGATAAGAGATAAGAGGTGATGTTTGAAGGTAGGTAGGTATATCAAAATGAAGGCTTTGTTGTAAATAAACAAATATAAAAGCTAAAGAATCCATGCGGCACTTACTTTTGAGTTGTTCTTACTTTAATTTAAACATTTCAGGTGTCAAAATATTTGCTTCAGTTCGCAGTTTTACAATAAGGTTTAAGAATTGAGACAAGTGTATTTTAAAGGGCACAGGCAGCCCTTAAAGTTGGTGGAAAGTTGGTATTGAAATAGATTTAATTGAAAATCAAGTCAGGCAAATGGAAATTCGGTTAGTCTGTAGGTTTGCTGCGGCAGGAGTATTTTGTACAAAAATGCATCAATATACAAAATTGTTTGTTTTCTCAAGCCCTACAGAATGGATGTAATGAAAATTAGGAATTTCCATGTTTCATGGTAAACATTTAAAAACAAAACTCAAATGTGACAGTTTGATCAAATTCTCTTTTATGAAGAATGTAGACTTCCTGGTTTTTGCCTTCATCAGGGCTTAAACCCAACAGTGAAGGCACGACAAATGCTATTCCTTATCTGAGGAAAATACAAATCTAAATATTGTATGGATTTTGAATTTGATTGAACTGTATCAGCTGTGTGGCAGGATGAAATTAGTAAGTTAAACAAACTAGCTGTTACCCACGGGCTTCAACCTGTTTGACTTCATTGGTTAAGATAAGCTGACATAAACAAAACAGAATACAGTAATACAAAAAAATAATCACACCTGATTTCAAGAAGGTAATAAATTGAAAGAATAACAAACAAATAAAAACAGCTGAGATTTTTAACGTTGGGCATATCGAAAGTTCCCTTTAGAGAGGAATTACGACCTTAAAGGGCAATTTATGAAATAATGGATAGTTTTGCGCAAGGTTTCTCGTCATGACGAACATATTAAGTGTATGGTTAATGGGGGTGACTTGTAGTGTTCTCAAAAGTTCATGGGTACTTTAGGATTCATATATGGATTATAAACAAAGTAAGCTATAAACAAATACCGAAACTATAAATCCTCTTGAATTTCGGTTTATTGCCATTGTGACTAACCAATATTTCTAAAATATCAACCTCGGACGTCTACAATGTGTTAGCATGCCACTTTATTATCATGTTATAACTACGTATATTCCAGGAGTGCATTTTAATGTTGTAGGTTGCATAATCAACATGTTAGCAGCTTTGAGAATTGTTATTAGTTGTACAGTAAGAGTGTTATTTTATCTAGGTTAGGTATAACTGTATATAGTAAATGTGGATAGTAATTGATAAAGAAAATTATTCGTAAATACCTATTATGGTGCATTAACACTAATGAGTAGTTAATTTTTAATCGTGCTGATTTTAGTTAGTTAACGTTATTTCTTAGGGATGTGTCGATTCTCAATACCGATTCTCGATACCACCTATACTTGACCGTTGGTATCGGTATTGAGAAATGATCATCAAAAGTTGATTCCGATACCGATACCCCCGTGCAATCGGAAAATTATCGATATTCCCGCGAACGTGCAAGACAATGACGACTTTTCCGTGACCCCGGGAGATGTTAATGATTCTGCCGTGATCTCGGAAGACGACGATGATGTCTACACTGAAGCGGAAGATGTTCATGATTTTGCCGCGAATGCAGACGACGACGATGATGTTTCCGTGACCGCGGGAGTTAACCCATTCCTGACTGAGTTATTTGTCTAGTAGCATGCAGTTAGAACTGAGTTAAAATGGGCCAATGGGCAGTGTTTTAGTAAAAAATCCATAAAAACTGTAATTTATGAAATAAATGGCTAACACTTGTGTTTAAATTGATCTACATAAAATTTCCTTTTATGTGACACTAATTTCCAATCAAAAAATTTTTATCGCAATTTTAAAAATATATATGGATTTTATATATATTTATAAAAAAATATATTTTATGAAAGCATACCTAAAAAAAGTATTTTTAATTTTTTTTTCAATCAATTTCTTGGCCAAATTCATAAATAGTATTCAATTCCTTACACAAAAAACTTTATTTGGTTTGTTTATATATAAAATCCTTCATTTTATAGCTGTTTTTGTAAAACTCTGCAATCAACAAAATAGGCCTGAATAGGCCTAATAGAAGCTTTTCACAAAAATTGCATGTGTACTAAGTTATGGTGTTGTGAGTATTGAAATAAATGGTAAATTATATTCTTAGCATGATTATATTAATTTTTAACTATAAAATAGGTAAAATTAGTTGTCAGGGAAATTTTAGGGAATTTCAGGGAAATTTCCCGGAATTTCAGGGAATTTCCCCGGAATTTCAGGGAAATTTTAGGAAATTTCAGGGGAAAAAAGTTTCGTTCCAAATATCATTGTGGGTACTCAAAGTGTTGGGGTTTTCATTCTCAATATGATTATATTATAATTATTCTTACCACCGTACAATTACCAAGCATATTATAACCAAAAACGTGATTCGTCGAATACTCAAGAAAACCTTGCAGCCTAATATAATAAATATAAGATTGATCACTTACTTTTTTTGCTTATTTGTGAGCTCCAGACCTCTCTGCCACAATATTATATACAGTTTTACACTATTTACACACTATTTACACTCTATTTACAACTTTTTTCGGGGTTTCAAAAGTTTGTTTGGGTGTGAAACACCTCGAAACATGTTTCTAAGTGCAGAGGCACAAGGCACTTCCTGCACTCGTAAACGGTTTCACTTCTCCTGCCTTGAGCACTACATACTCTACACTTCCTTGAAGGCCTTTGCTTAGAAGTGGGCAAAATCTTCCTTATAAAATGACCCCAATGCCTGGCCTGTAACCGCAGTGGTGATTCAGCTGCAACCGATGGCCTTCCCCCTACTGGTCTGTTAGTTAGATTGACACTTTCCAAAATCTGTTCAGCCAAATTTATCCTAAATTTTGACATAGTAGACTTTTTCTTTGTTACAATCTCATGAATCACTCGGGCATTGTTCAATGTAACATCGAAAAGATAAAAAAACAATTTCTTGTACCCTTTCATGCACTTGCGCATCACTGGGAAGCATGAGAGTCGTTGGTCTTGTTTGTCCACACCGTTCATATTGTTATTGTAGTTTATCACAACATTTGGTTTGAGTTGTGGTTGAGGATTTGGACGTCTTCTCTCTCGTTGTGGAATGACTTCCTCATATTCCGGTCGGGTATGGATGGTTGATAGCATGGCTACATCCTTTCTGTCCTTCCACTTTAGGGCTAAGATTTTCTTAGTGTGCAAAAAGGTAAGTTCACCTAATTGGAGCTGTCTGTTTTTTATTTCTTTTGGAAAGTTTGTTCTATCAGACCTCACAACTCCTACAGCGTACGTATGCCTGTTCAAAAGCTCTAAAAAGAGTTTAGGTGAACTATACCAGTTGTCTAAGTATAAAACCCGGCCTTCATCCAACAGATCTGCACAAATTTCTAATACAATTTTTTCACTAAGTAAAAAAGATTTCTCCGGGGTTGCAGCATTTTCTGTCAGATTTTCGCCAACCTCAAGATTTTCTCCATTTTCAGGATCATCTACATTCTCCTCATTTTCTTCTTGGGGCTGTATATCTGTCTCTTTGCCAGTATAAATTTTGAAGTCATAACAATAGCCAGTTTTAGAGTCATTCAACTTGTATATCTTTATACCAAACCTGGCTCGTTTTGATGGGTTGAACTGTATATAGCTCAGTCTGCCTCGAAATTTTATTAGGCTTTCATCAACACAAATTTCTTTCTGAGGAGTAAATACTTTCTTATAGGATGCAATCAACTTCTCAATAATAGGCCTAATTTTTCTTAGTTTGTCATTAGGGTCCACAGAAGATGAGAAATGTAAAAAACGAGAGATAGTTTTGAATCGGTCTCGTGACATCGTTTCGCCAAAAATAGGTTGATGCAAAACCCTTCTCGTCGACCAGTTGTCATGGATATTAGCTTTCACATTTTGTGCCATGAGTACCACTAAAGCAAAATAGGCTTTTAGTTCATCAATGGTCAAATCTACCCATTTCACATTAGGCATGCCCTCATCTAGGTATTTGTGAGCATTCCTGTTTGTTTCGTCACATACCTGTTCCCAAAAATTATTTCCCAAAAACTGATCTAGCACATCCAGTTCATTGCTCTTGTCTGTCAGTTGTCTAGATATAACAGGATTTATCCCGTGTTTCCCTGTAAAAGGAATATTTTCTACCTCATTTTCACCCTCAAACCAGTCCCAGGGCTTTGGTTTTGTTTTGCGTTTTCGAGGCCTAGGCCTACGAACGGGTTCATTACGGTTCACACGGTTACGTCTGCGAATAGGTTCACGCCTAGGTCTACGCCTATTACGACCAGGATTCAGAGCTCGATTTTCAATATTTACATTATTTGGAATATTTACATTATTTGGAATATTTACATTACTTTCAATATTTACATTGTCACTTTCTTCAACATTCGGTAAATCAACGTCATATTCATCAAGAGTAGGATTCAAGGTTGCTAGGTTAGCCGAACTACAACTTGGCAGACTAGACACACTTGGAACACTTACGTCTTCATCACTGATAATTCGTTCGTCCTCTTCATCACCACTCACTTCACAACCACTTTCCGCTAAAATATCATCAACAAACTGAGCAAAACGATCACTTTGTAAGAATAAATCATCGCGACGAAACGCCATAGCAACAACAAAACGAACCGCTGTTGCACAACTAAGGTTAGAATACAACGTCATGACAACAAATCAATAATACAACAAAAAAAACATTACAGGCTACCAGCAGACAACGCATAGAGTATAAAAACAAAGTATAGTAGTGAATAAAACATAGTGGATGGTTATTGATCGTTTTTAATCATGAGAACAAAATATAATAATGCATTATGCGTGAGGACGGGCGCTGCCCGTCTTTAGTCTTTCGTAACCTGGCGCGCTAGGACGGGCGCCGCCCGTCTTTAGGCGGGAATGGGTTAATGATGATGTCTACATGGCCGCAGAAGATTTTTGTGATTTAGCTGCGACTGCGGACGACGAAATGAACAACGTTACCGTGACCGCGGGAGTCAATGATGTCTACACGGTAGCAGGAGATTTGAATGATTTTGCCGCCATTGCGGACGACGACAATGATGTTTCAATGACATGAAATGATGACATGACATGGGAAATGATGATGACGTCTACACAGCCTCAGGAAATATGTATGATATTGAAGGGATCGCGGACGACAACGATGACGTTTTTGTGACCAAGGGAGTCAATTATGATACACTTACTTTTTTTGTATTTCAGTAATGTATCTTACAACATTGTGATATTGTTCCTTTATATCCATCCAATGTAGGTTTTTCCATATATCATTATAAGCGAACTACGCAGCCTCAGAAGATTTTTGTGATTTCGCCGTGATCGCGGAAGACGAAGATAACATTTCCATGACTGCGAAAGACGATGATGATGATGACGGCCTTGGAAGATGTTCTTTGCCACGATCGACAAAGATGATGTTTCCTTAACCGCTGGAGTTGATGATGCTGTCTTCAGGACCGCGGAAGGTATGATTTTTCTGCAACCGCGAAAGTCAGTGATTGTGGGAGATATTTCGGACTTTGCAGTGATCCCAGAAGAGAAAAATGATATCTCCACAACCACTGGCGATGACTAACTTAATTTGGCTTGACTGAATATTTCAGGCACACCGCAATAATATCACTTTCTTTTTGGCATTTGTTGTTAGATCAATTCATTTATCCTTGCATTTGCCCGTCCACATAGACTAACTGCCCGTGCGTGGAACGTATCCAGCAAAGCAAGGGGTGAGCCGGTACAGTACAAAGGTGAACTGTACTGATAAATTGTAGTGGCAGTGATCAGGATCCGAACCCACGACATCGCTGCCTTGGGCCCGAAGTCCGTGACGCTACCAACTGAGCCACCGACTCACCAAGAAGAAGGGAGGCTTTAGAAGGGGTTAAACTTAATTAAGAGTTGGAATGAATAATTGCTGCATAAATCTTTCTTTACTTGCAAAAAACTCCATTTCCTCAAAAATTGTTAATGGAAGGACATAAAGATAGGGGTTGGTGTAGTATATAACCAATCCATTCAGAAAATTTGGAAAAAAAATTCCAACAATAATTAAATGGTATCGGTACAGAGAATCGATTTTTCTGGTATCGGTATCGAGAATCGATAAATTTTGATATCGACACATCACTATTCTTAACCTACTTAGTTTTTGCTGGAATCAGTTATGAGAGGGAAATGGAATAATGTAAGTCAAGTCTAGTGGGTTACTTTGCTTCCTATATGTTTAATGTGTGTTAGCTGTATTTATTTCATACCATCTTTTATAACTATCTGTTTTTTTTTTTTTTTAGTTTTATTATAAAGATAATTTTTGGATGCACATGAAATACCAGTATATTGCTTTAATATTCCTTAAAATAATGACATCAACTGATTCCCCCTTAAACTCTTATAAATTTAAAAGTGGACCCTAAGTTCAGGTGGAAATTATTGTTCATTAGTGCAAAATAGTTGAATAGAAGTCTTTGCTTTCAAATTACAGTTTTTAGCAAAAACTATTTTTAACATGTTGTATGGTTTACCTATTTATTATCAAAGTTTGAACATTTATAACATAAACATAGACTTATGTATTGCATTTCGATATTCTAATAGGATCTAAGGAAATCTGAGTATCCAAAAACAAAAAGTCAGATCGGTTTACCTGTCCACCTCTACACTGTAGTTTTTAAAACGGCAAAAATGGTGGTCTGTATTATAATATGTTCTGTAATTCAGTTATGTTTCTTATAACATTGTGATATTGTTCCTATCTATCCATCCACTGTAGGTATTTTCATATATCATTATAAGAGTTGATACTTTGAGATATATTTATACATGTGTGAGGGTAGTGTACAGTGTACAGTTGTATAGTAGCTTACCTCGTACCGGTACTTGTTCAAGTTTGCTGTTGAAGCACAAACTCATTTGTTCACAGCCAGTAATCTTGAGCCCAGCCAGTACTTTGTCGTCTCTGACAACGAACTCTTATGTTTGTATCTTGTGTTAAGGTGTGTGATTCGAGATGGAACTCAGTGTTAATATCAATGAAATGTGCCTATATTTTTTTACTGATGAATCTCCGTCTGTTTGTTTGAACATTGTGTTGTGCTTCTTAGAGTAACTGTGTATACTTTTGTTTAACAAATAAGGCTGATAAATAATGTGAATATAGATAAACTGTTAGCAATCTTGATCGATTAATATTTATTTTTTCTTGTTTATATATGATATATTATCGGTAAAAACATCTTTTCAGGGTCCGGCTGGATTGTGATTGTAATGAAGGTTGGTCCCGGTGTTTCCTTGTGGAAATGTTGTTTTTGTAACGTGATAATAAAGTTTTTATGTCATTACTTGAAACATTTCTTCACACCTTAATAAATTAGGTTCATCTTCAGTCAAATCCTCTTCTAACATTAGTATTGTAAGCAAATAATTGTATGGTTTTTAGAAGAGGTCATTCTCCCATACAGATTAATTCTCACTGTCTGTTTAGTGGATCTACACAGTGATGTAGAGTGATGATCAACCACCAGCTCTATGACATTGACATTATCAAATAAAAACAACTTTTGTTCTAAAATTTAGGTTTGATTCCATCATAATTAATCTGTGTGGTCATTTACTTTAATCTGCCAATTTTCTTTATACTCTGCAAATCCTTTGTTTTTTTCTTCATTATCAAAGACCTTTTATCAAACCTTTACTAATACATCATTTTTTTTGTATTTATTTACAACCTGTTCTATGTTAGAACAATAAGTAAATTTCAAGACAGTTTAACATGAGGGCGGTAGACCCCGCGTTTGTCAAACGTGCATTAGCCAAGTACCTAGGAGCAAATGGGATCAATCACATGCAAACACACGCTTAAAACCAATGTCGCCAAAATGTGGCGCTTGTAGTTTTCACTTCAAACGCTACGTTTGCTGATATTATGTAATTTGTCTGTCGAGATGCATACCAAGGTTTACAGCCTGCAGAGCATTCCCTCTGCGGGTTGGATCCTTTTATTTTAGTTCCACAAATGTAAGCACACTATTCAATCCTTAAATCTGCTAAAAGTGTTTTGACGGCCCAGGACCAAGTAAATTAAAAAAACTTACAATGATAAAATTGCATCGTGGAGTGGTGTTCTAGTAACTGATGTATAGGCTCGATCAAATTTGTTAAATATGGTTTTTAGGGGAAAATACTTTAACCCCAGGAGTGGCCAACGAGCGTAATACGCTCGTTCGCCGTGACGCCTAGAATGGCCACCAGAGTAATACGCTAGTATGGGCCGAAATTTTTTTAACGGTGAAAAAACCGCTTATAATCAATATATATACCATTCGAAAGATCACATTCTGAACTTTCATTTTATTATATAAACAAACCCTGTAGCAGGTATATAACAATGTCACGACAATTAGAAATCAAATGAATTTTTGGCGCGGCACGACTTTTGCAGCTGACACTTGGGAACTGTCAAAACACGACTTGTTTGGCATTACACTGCTGCGGGGGGTATTTTCGTCTTGGGATGTTGCGGGTGGTACCACTGGATAGCCATTGATTTGATCTTCGTTGTGGTATTGATATTTAGAACGAAATATTGATTGCACAACAGGTACGATTTTATGAAAATAGCTGTTTTTGAAATTTATAACAAATGGCCAACCAGCGTAATACGCTAGTACGGAAAATATGAATTACATACAGTGTAAGTTATTATTACTAGTCATATAATATGTCTTTGAAGAGGAAGAAATGTAGCTTGTGATAGTGGCAGCCCTGCACTCAGGGTTATTTCCGGTTTCTCTCACTAAGGGTGCGTTCACAAAGAAAGCTTGTTACAAGCGCTTGTTGGCAAGCGCTTGCAAGCTCGAACCGGCGTGAGAAAAGTTAACATAGTGTCAAGCTTGTGCGTTCACAGACAAAGCTTGTGCCGGCTAGCAAGCACGCAAGAACGTTTCGTACTTGTTTTCTGGCTCTTGTTGACCGAACGAGTCATTTAGTCCATTATGGATTTCGATGAGTTGATTGCTCAAGTATTTAGAGCTTCCAATAAAAAAAAAATATATTACCCACGTATTGTGGTTTTTTCCTAGAATTTTCAATAACCTAAACAATAGGACAAATATAACATACATGTATGAAGATGGTAGACAAACACATTTAATTCAATATTAATTAAGTGTTGGATTTTTTATAGATGAAACTTGTATACTTTTACTTATTTGCATCATAATTAACCAGCTACATAGGGTGTTTGAAACACCCTTTGATTATTTTTTAAGTTTTATTATTGGTCCAAAATTCGTTCTGGTGCATGGATACGTTGCTTATGCCAATACCACCAAAACTTCACTAAAACACTTTCAATTTTCTTGAGGATATAATTAAACGTTGTTAACTCCATTCTCGTATAAGAAAAACCTCACTTTGTTCAATTTCAATTTAGGAAATAGATTGTGGTATTCTCCAAACCTACCGCTTCCGTGGTTAATTGCATGAACACCTACTTTCCTTCAACGAATTTTTAATTCTACGTTTGCAATCAAAGTTAACCCTTCATCACTTGAGGAAGATATTGTCTCAACCAGAGCTGAGACTACACTGAGCTTGAAATGCAAACGTTTGTTGTGAACACACAACAGCATTCTCAAGCGCTTGGAAGAAGCGCTGAAAGTAAGTTACTTGTAATAAGCTTTCTTTGTTAACGCACCCTAAGACGACGATAGTACGCCACCACTGTCAAGGTCTCATACACAAAGTCCCTTGTATTCTCCATTGCATGTATTGTTTCGCCTGTGTGTTTTCGCTCTCGTGTTATCAACGATTTATTACTAAATTCGTTATTATTTCATATTGTTAGAGAAATGTGTGTGTGTATATAACAGTAATCTCATGCATTTTATCATGCATGAATATTTACTGAATAGTGTGAAATTGTGCTTATAAAAGGTTGTATTTTTTGCGGTTGTATTTTCGGTTTTCCGTTTATTACATTATTATGCACCTAACACGTAAAAAAAGTTTTTATTCTTTTCACTTTACTGAAAAAAAACTTTCTAAATCATTATTATATTACTATTTCTAAAATCTCCTATTCTTTTCGAACAAAAGGAATATGAGGTTGACTAAGTTTACTTCTAAGGTTAAATTTTTACGAATTTTCAAAAAAAGTCTGCAAAATCACCAAAATGGACTGGCCATTCCACACTTCTAACATTGGCCACTGCTAGGGTTAACAACCAGACAAGGGGTGGAAAACATTATCGGGCATGCTTGTAAAGCTTAGCTTTACTTTGTAACTTGCTCTTTCCTGTTGTGTCTCACAAATTATAATGCTTTCTCATTCACTATTCAAATCATGATGTGATGGAACAATTAACAAGGTGTAGAAAATTGGAGTTATGTCTTTAGAGTTTAGATATTAGAGGTTGTGTTTAGTATCTCAAAAATTTCTCAGGTAAGAACTTTTTCTTATAGAAATATTTATTTACAAATATTTAATTAACATTTGGTGAATCTATTTATATGTACATTTGCAACAGCAGGGATTAGTCTTCTTAATCATATTGTAATAGGAAGTACAATGCAATTTAAATAATTATAAGCTGTTTCAGCTTGATAAACTACTAATAAACTTACTATAAACTATTAGATTAGGCAGTTATCTGTCAGTTAAGCTGGGTTTTCCTAGGCGCGGAAGCGGAGAGCAGAAAAGAGATTAACATGGTGTTCCGCTCCGCTTCTAGGAAAACAGTAACATTAAACTACCTAAGACAAGTCGAGTCCGCTCTCCACATTCCTCTCTCCGCTCACCATTTCCGCGCCTAGGAAACCCAGCTTTAGGAATAACTTGATTAAGAATTCCTTAAGTACCTCTTATTGTTTCTAATCAATTATTATCTCTAAAATTTAAGTGTTCAATCATTTGGGTTTAATTTGTGTTGTTATGAGTTAACACTTTTGAGATTCTTCTATTTGTACCTGATTCAACAATGGATATTATTAACTAAATTATCTAATTGGCATTCTTATATGCGTGTTTAAAAATGTGGTATAGCCAAATGGTTACTTAAAATTGGTGCATAGTATTAAATATTTATAAAATATAATATGTGTGCATTAAAATCCCAGTTTTAAAAACTAACAGACTATAGAAAATACATTTGAGTAAGTAGTTAAGTACACATCATCAAACATTTATAAAAAATAACATAAAACACTAAAACTTCACTCTAACTTATTATAAAATGAAGAGAAAAAAGTAAAAACATCATTCTATTGCTGCTGAGGTGATCTTACAACACTTAGCTTTTAATTAATTAATTATTTATTTAAATATTACCTCAATCAAATAAAATTATCAATGAACTCAAAAATTATTCAACCGTTGTTGAGGTATGTAAGAATTAGTGATTTTAAAGATTTTTCAATGTTACAATAACAATACAAGTTACAATACCAGTTACAATAAGAGTATTTTGGCTTGTTTGTAAACTTTAGAGAATATGCACACTGAGCCCCTAACTCCATGGACATTAATCTGAATACCATATACTTGTCCATCAGGTATTCAGGTGTAGGTTTAGTCTACTTATAAATAACATGTAGCCTATGTGATGTCTGCAAATACTAGTTTCACATTGGTCATGTGTGCACATATATCCAAGACTAGTATATTGGGCTGAATGGGCTGATTAATTTTTTGAAGCAATTTGTCACGAAGACGATTTATATTTGAAGACAGGAAGGGTCGGTGCGTTGTTTGATGTGTCTTCACTGTTCTTTGGTTTTTTATTTCCTGAAATAAAACATAAAACTTTTTAATATCAAGATTTAAGACATTCTGCATGACTTATCTATCACAAAAGCTTTACTTTGAAACTTTGCCATGAAAATGTTATGGAGCTTCTGAATATATCACCAATGGTCTGTGGATTTAATGGTCAACAACACACTGAGCAGTGTGTCAGGTAACAAAATTTTAAAACCATCTAACGTGCTGATTTATGAGGTTTTACAATTTTCAAAGCTATTACATCTTCTAGAATGCAGTAGGGCCTACTAATAATGGTTTTCACAAACATATAACATGAGATACTAAAGCTGTTTTTGTTGAAAATGCCTGCCTTTACTAGTTATTTGTAATAGTCATACAGATGATATGAATGTTGTTTTTACTATCAGCTGTCTGTTTTAGTGTCCAATATTGTTCCTTGTCATGAAAACATTAATGAGAAATACATTTGATTATTTTATAGTTTAAATTCGTTTTTCATCGTAGTTTTACTTAGATTATCCCTAAACACCTCCACTTGGGAGAATAATTCAAGAGGTTATGGTCGCCAGCATCGTTTTATGTACATAACAGTGTTGGGAAATCTAGTCTACTACGTACACGGTAAGAACAATTTATACTGACGTATTTTTCTGTCTCAAGAGTATTGTTTCTTTGGTATATCTTTCGATCGAGTTCGTCCAGCTCTAAAAATGGAATACGTGAAAGGTATAAAACCATTGAAAGAAGCAGAAGATTGGCCGACGTGGAAAGATCGAGTGTTGGACGTTCTAGAGTTGTTCGACGCGGTTGAGATCGTTGAAGGAAAGAGAGTAAAGCCTACCCTCTCTGAGCCTCCGACTAAAGCCGAAAAGGAAGAACTTCAGAAATTCAACAAATCCACGACTCAGGCAAAAATAGTTATTTCTCAGTTGATGATCTACATCAACGTATTTCCGGAAGATTATCAGCTAAGGAAGCGTGGGACATTTTGATCGAGCAGTTCGATAACAAGGCAGAAGATCAGTTGTTTCGTCAGTGTTTGGATTTCTTCAGTATGGAATGGGATGATACCGAGGATGCCCCGACCGTGCTTTCAAGATTGAAGAATCAAAACCGCGAATTTGCAGCTGGCCTCAAAACACGTAACATCCAAACAGTCGAAGATTTTCTTGAGCTCCTGTTTGTGTCAAAAGTGTTACACATTTTGCCGAAGCGTTTTGAATCGTTCAAGCCTAGCTACTTACTTATGAAGGCAAACGAGAGCAAGAAACTTGAAGATATTTCATCTGCATTGATCCTTCATGAGCGTAATGTTGCTCCTACTTCAAAAGCTGGTGACATTCTTAGTGCCACAAACAGCGGTGGTCAGAAGAATAGGAAACCAAAAGGTGACACTTCGTGCAAATACTGTTCGGGGAAAGGTCATTGGATTCGCCAGTGCTCTAAATGGAAAGCTGACGGCAAGCCTGCGTATCCAGCTCGAGCTAACGGCATTAGCACTAGTTCAAAAACGAGTGACACTGATAAGAAGAGAACGAAGGGCTCGCAAGGTAACGTGACCGACAACCGAAGTGCGCTGATTTCCATCAGCAGTGACATGAATATCGTGACCACGAACGACCAGTGGTGGATCGACAATGGCGCTACGCGGCACATTACGTCAAATCTGAGTTGGTTCACGGAGTACAAACCTTTTCCTGCAAACTCGAACGCAACAGTATAGGCGGCGGGAAAGGAAGTTATAAAAGCTCTTGGCAGTGGAGTCGTTGAAGTAGCGAACTATGAAAATGGAAAACTGGAAACGTTCACACTCAACGATGTATGGTATGTTCCTGACGTTTCTCGGAACTTAGTGTCCATTCTCGCAGCTCATGATCGAAACCCTAATAGCAGGTTTGAATCGACTAATACCGAGTGTCGGTTCACTATTAACGAAAAAACTGTATTCAAAGGTACTCGAAACTGTGGTGGAACTTTGTATCGTGCCTCATTTCACACAGTTCAACCATCTGAGGTTTGCGCTAATGCAGTAGAAGACAATCGCATTCTGCAGTTATATCATGAGCGCTGGGGTCACATGGATAAACGCTACGTCCGATCGAAGCTCGAATACGAAATGGGTATCAAAGTGCCAGCCAACTACGAGATCTGCGAACCGTGTCAGTTCGGAAAGGCACACCGTCTACCATTTGGAACACGAGAACGCCCCTCAGCCCCCGGTGAGTTGTTATCCGGTGATGTTTGCGGCCCGTTTGACCCATCCTTCGGAGGTCGCCGATACTTGATCGTCATAAAAGACCACTTTTCAAGGTACCGATACTGTTTTGTCGCAAGGGAAAAATCTGCTGTGAAGGAAGCGTTGCGTGAAGTGTTGTCTAAAGCACGCACGATTGGTCATCACGTCAAAGAGTTTCTCAGCGACAACGGTGGTGAGTTTGACAACGCTGAAGTTCGTCAAATTCTCAGAGAATATGGTGTTAACCAACGTCTGACAGCGCCATATACACCCGAGCAAAATGGTGCTGTAGAGAGAGAGAGAGCAGAACAATCGTCGAAATGGCCCGGACCTTCAAGTACGCCAATCCAAATGTAACATTTCCTGCAGCGATCTGGGCGGAACTAGTCATCACTGCTGGCTACGTTTTGAACCGAGTGGGAAAGTCAGCAGTTGCCAACAAATCACCCTTTGAGCTCTGGTTTGGTCAAAAGCCGAGGATCAAACATCTGCAAGTGGTCAGCTCAAAGTGCTACGTCCATGTTCCTGTGCAGAAGAGGCGGAAAATGGACAAGAAAGCTGTGGTTGGTTACCTAGTTGGATACGATGGCGATGAACGATATCGAATCTACGTCCCAGAGAGAAGAGATATCGTAGTTTCTCGTGACGTCGTTTTTCAAGAAATCGTTGGAGACTGTGACAAGAAAGTTGAGTGGCCCATCAAGATTGAGAAAACCAATGACGTCGAAGAAGATTGGCAAGAAGTTGAAGAGACTATTGACGAGCCTAGTTCTCCAGTGAAGGGTAATAATGCGCCTATACCGACTGAAGTCCCTTCAAGTAGCAGTGATAGTGAAGATAGAGAGTTATCCAACGATCCTGCAACTCGGCACTCGACTCGGGAAATAAGGCAACCCGAGTGGCTAAACGATTACGTCTCGTCAAACTTTGCTGAAGTTCTTCTTGTTGACGATGGAACTAAGTCTTACACTGAAGCCATCAGTTCAGAAGATAGTGCTGAATGGAAAACAGCAATGGACAAAGAAATGGGGTCCATGCATAAACACGGTGCATGGGAATTGACCGAACTCCCTCCGGGAAAGAAGCCAAATGGGAACAACAAGTGGGTCTACCGAATAAAGCGCAATCCTGATGGAAGTGTTGACAAATATCGAGCGAGATTGGTCATCAAAGGATGTGCACAAAGACCTGGTATTGATTATGCCGAAACCTTCAGCCCGGTTGCTCGTCTGGAGGTCGTTCGATCAATATTGTCCATCGCAGCTGTTGAGAAGATGGTTCTACGGCAGTTTGACGTCTCAACTGCGTTCTTGTACGGAGACGTTGAAGAAGAGATTTTTATGAAGCAGCCTGAAGGATATTCAGATGGGACAAATCGTGTTTGTTGTCTCAAACGCAGCTTATACGGCCTGAAACAGGCACCTCGATGCTGGAATAAACGGTTTGACGACTTCATGAAAGGCTTAGGATTTCGACAGAGCCGTGAAGATCCCTGCGTCTACATTTGTCCTACCCCTGCTGGAAAAATCATCGTTGCATTCTATGTTGATGACGGATTAGTCGCAGCGACTAGTCAGACTGAAATGGACTTATTTATTGGGCAACTTCGTTCACAATTTGAAATTGTTGCTAAAGAAGTGTCATACTTTCTCGGACTCGAAATTTCTCAAAGTGATGGTGATATATTGGTCTGCCAATCAGCGTATATCAAGAAGATCGTTTCTCGATTCAACATGGAAGGATGCAAGCCAGTACTTACTCCCATAGAGAAGCTCACTGCTCAAACACCAGGGAAAGCCTCCGATTTTCCATACCGATCGGCAGTTGGAGCCCTACTTTATGTTGCTCGTGGTACTCGTTTTGACATTGCATTTAGTGTAAGTGTTCTATCACGTCACTTAGAAAATCCTACACAAGATGATGTCACAAGAGCAAAGCGTGTTATACGCTATTTGGCCGGCACTGTGGACCAGAAGCTAGTGTACCAATCCAAACCTAAAACACGTCTACTGGAGTGCTATAGTGACGCGGACTTTGCTGGTTGTCCAACTACAATGCGTTCAACAAGTGGAGTTATTATTAAATACGCGGGTGCAGCTATCACTTGGCTAAGTCGTCGTCAGGAGTTAGTTGCGGACTCAACTTGTGAAGCTGAAATCATTGCAGCTAATCTTGGTTCAAAAGAAACAATCTGGATTGCTCGTTTGTTCAAAGAACTTATAGGATTGTCTGCTGTTCCTATCCTGAAAGTTGACAACGAATCAGCAAGAAAACTCTGTGAAAACCCCGAGTTTCACTTTCGTACAAAACATATTCAGCGGAAGTACCTGTTCATTCGAGACAGGATAAATATAAGTATGCTGACTGTAAAGCACATCGGTTCAGAATATCAACTAGCAGATATACTGACGAAGCCTATACCTCGACCAAGACTTCAAGTTCTGCGAGAAAATCTTGGACTATGCAAATAAGGGAAAGTGTTGAAAATGCCTGCCTTTACTAGTTATTTGTAATAGTCATACAGATGATATGAATGTTGTTTTTACTATCAGCTGTCTGTTTTAGTGTCCAATATTGTTCCTTGTCATGAAAACATTAATGAGAAATACATTTGATTATTTTATAGTTTAAATTCGTTTTTCATCGTAGTTTTACTTAGATTATCCCTAAACACCTCCACTTGGGAGAATAATTCAAGAGTTTTAAGGGCGAGTGTCAGGTGTTGGTATCAGGAATTGCCGTGGACACACACAAACAAGAAAATACATTATTGCTTCTCTTTATTCTAGAGTTGTTGTTTTTTGGAAAACACATATTCAAGTTAAATTTAGGTGCCCGTTTTAAAATTCAAATACAGTACATACCGTACTATCCATCACACAAATTGCAATGTATCCGCCTGTCTTTCCAGCACATGGTTTAAAATATTACAACAGGTAGTATGCTAGTAAAGAAATACTTTACTAAAGCAAATCATTAAAAGAGTTTTCTAGTTTTTTTTCTTTTTTTCTTTTCAGAAAGGATTAGTAGAGGGGATGCAATCTTTAGATGCAAGGAGACTAGCTTGTCATGCAGATGCACACTTATTTTACAAACTGATTTGCTAAAATAATGTAATCCAAGTTGAGTGTTAATCACATTTTTAGTTAACTGAAAACTAAGTTATAACATAACCAATAACCATTGATTCCAGTGCCTAAACTGATAACCTGGTGTTTTATAAAACACGATGCGTGGTCCTTCTTTGGTGTTGGCTAGGGGCATATTTTTGTCTCAAATATTTAGAAGAAATGAATATTTATAAAAAAGAAAGGAAAAGTGAGAATAAAATTTACCTTCAAAAAAGTAAGAGGTGATATTAGCTACAGGAGCTTCCACAATGAGGTATAGAGCTGCAGCCGACAGGAAACTGATCACTGTGTCTGCTGCGAAGAGGAAATACTGCAACACAGGTTACATTGTAAGTGTTAACCAAACTCATGATAGATGGATGATATTGACGATATTGTCATATGAACGTCCAGATCTAATTTTTGATTAACAACTACTAAGCCATTTAAAAATTTGTTTGTTTAATGCTTGGACCCACAATTTCAAAGTTTCTTTACAACATTAACCCTTCGCTTCCATGTTGTAAATAAATAGAGAAATATGTAGGTAGGCTAACAGAAAAATAGGTTATCATAAGAACGTTTTTTTACAAATTTCTGAAAAATAGTTACTGGTTTTCAAATATGATTAATTTTGGAAATGTTTAAGTATGTTGATATTGACTAAAGCTTGTTGTCAACATATAATAAATTATATTGATCATATGTAGTGGAGTAGTGGAGTGGAAACGCATGGGAACTGCGCTTTATCCAAAGAACAACTTGTTCGATGAACAAAGGTGACATGATGAATATTGATAGACAACCCTTATTTTTTATACCACAATGGTTAGCGTTCCCGCATTAAAGACTTTACGACTAAACTAAACCACTGATCATATGTAAATGGGAATGAAAACAACCACTATTAGCGAATTTCCCACGTAAGGAATAAGCTATGGCCGTAGGTCCTATGGTAAGACCTAGACCCAGAACCGGTTTACTTCGTTCTTTTTTAAGTCCCCAGAGGCCAAAAAACCACATTCATTCAAATTCATATATAAATGTATTTACATGGTAACATAAGGTGTCCACTGATCATTTCAAACAAGCAAATCTCTAATTGCATAGGTAGGCCCTAGTTGGATTTTCACTAAAACACTTCCTTAAAATTGTCAGATTTATTCCATATTAAAATAGCATCAAATTTTATGAGTACTTAGATTTCCATTTTAAGTAGCAAGTATTCTCCCTAATAATGGTTTTTTTGTTGTTTTTAAATTGAAGTTAAATAAAGGTTTACTTCTCTTAGTATTCTATTGAATTCTTTTTTAACACGGTAACATGTATCCATCTCCCCTCATGGTTGTGAGGGGGGAGGGATCGCTAGGGTGGTTTAGGAGATGGGAAAAGATAATTTAATTCTCTTTGATGTAATTATATCAACACTCATGTCATATCTTCATGTTAACTGTCTAACACTTACTATCACGTAGGTGGAATGCAGAGACGTGGTAGTCCTCATGCTGTTAGTTTGTGAGTTCTGAATGAACACATGAGTGAGGTAGGCACAGTATGTCAGTCTAGCCATGGGAATCCAACCTCTCCAAGACAGGAACTTGTCTACAAATCCTACACAAAAAATCAGCTAAGTTTGTCAATTTTTCACACATTTGATTTAAAGTAGTCAACTTAATTATATTACGAGTATTTTTAATAGCATGCACCTTATGGAAATAAAATAGCAACTGTGATTGGTTTTTATTTTATTGCTTAAACCATTTAGTGTTTTTGGAAAACCATTCATATTAGGATTTCTCTTTATTGTAACCCATACAGCCATTTCCTGGAGTTTGGCTGTTTACTTACGAGACATCCAATTTATTTTTATAATGTTTTTGTGTTCACCTCCATATCCTAGAGTACACACTAGGATGATCCATGAGAAGCCCAGAGCCAGCAGATGTCTGTGGAGTATGTGGTAAACAGTGTCTACAATGGGGTTGTACACGTACGAGGGAGCCAGGAAGTAGTTGACAAAGAAGATGCTGAATAATATAAAAAAGACTGAGACAACCCAACCAACCCAGAGCTTCCACTGGAACAAAGTAGTAGAAGAATTTAGTATTCATTAAATATTACAGAGACACAAAGTTTCACCCTCAGAAAGCTTTTAGAGCCCAGAGGAAATGAAAGGTTGGAGAGGACTAAGTCCTAGAACCCGCGTCACGGGAAAACATAAAATGCCAAATATGATGTAATAATCCTAGCAACAGAACCCGTTGTGGTTAAATGCAACGGTCTCAAGGAAAATTATGGTTATGAAATTCACCAGTTTACTCACTAATAATTATTAGTACAGATTAAGCACATAACTTTAGAAACACACACAACATAACACACTTTAACAACAAATGCAACATGTAAACTAAGAAAATCAATGAAATGACAGTACTGTACAAGAATCAGCTGTGTTTCAGTACAGTTCTTAGAATTGAAAAGTATCCCATAACAGCATTGTTTACTTTCATAACAGCATAGTTTTACTCATAACAATACGGGTAACGGACCAATGAGGTTCAAGGATTGAGAGAGGAGAAGCAAAATTGTAATGATTCAAAATTCAACAAATCAGCTGTTCAGGCCAATTTAATTGTTGATTGATGTAATTAGTGTTTGATACACTGTTTCATTGCATCACTGTCAGTGGCAATGAGAGGTTATAAACAAAACCATAACCTCTCTTAGAAGTTACGAGTATAGTGATTTTTAATTAAAACACCGTAGGTAAAGTAGTGTACGCAACTCGCGTAAATAGTGTTAACGACACTCCCATCGTAGAAGTTTTTAAGGCACTCGCCAAGGCTCGTACCTTAAATTTTCTACTTGTGTCGTTAACACTATCTTTATGCAATCTGCGTAAACTACTATAACACATTTTTCATATGGGGGAAAAATTTGTATAATTATTTGCAAATCTACACAAATTAGGCTATCCAATAACCATTTATTAACAAAATCGGCCCAGTAGAAGTCTAGATTTATTTGTACTAATTTTTAACAAAAATATCTTTAACTCAGTATTTTGTCACCACAATAAATTTTTAGGATGATTAGCTTTTATTGAAAATAACTTTTAAATGGTCACAAAATTTACCAAAGTGGAAGGTGATATTCTGAAAGAGAATCAAATTTCCTACAAATTAATGTGTACTATGCATTTCTTGAAAATTCCCAATAAAGGCAGCTAAAAGTTGCCTCCAAATAAAAAATGTGAAAACCAACGGGGGTTCAATGTATTTCTTATGGAAAACATGTTTTTTATAATCTTTCACCTTAACATAACAAAAACAAACTTTCATAATTACTTGCAAATCATCTACAAAAAATTAAGCTTTCCAACGACCCATTAGTTAATAAAATCAGTCCAGTAGAGTAGAACTGTAGATTTAGCTGATTTTTAAAACTGAATTATTATATAAGTAAATGATTATTATTGTGTTGTTAAAGAGTATATAGAGTAATGTAGTGTTTACTAACTGTAGGTAGCTTGATGATGATCTTTCCTTTTTTGATGAGGAACAAAAGGTAGCCAAGTGCCAATCCCAGCAAAAATGAGAAAGCTCGGAGATGGGTGATAATGTAGTCTTTGGTGTTGTTTACCTCCGTCCTGCGATCACTATAACAGTACAATCCACAAAGATATCAAATATTTTACTCTAGTTAGACAATATCACTGAATTCATATCCACAAATTCACAGTTTAAAATATATTATACATCGATTTTAAAAACCAGACAAACACATAGCTAAGCATAGTAGTAAACACATACAGTTGTAACAGAGAAGTTACAAGGTTATTTAAATTGGGTTTAGTTGTTCTGCCGTGCTTCGCAACGGGACAAGAATACCTAAGAGATTAATGTAGGTCTCGAAATCTATTGTAAAAGACAGTTACACACACTTACAATGCTAATTATACAGGCAAATCTCAATTGTACTTAAGTTATTGATTTTTTAAATGAAAATCTCTTCTGTTTTTGTATCAAACTGTGTGGCAGAATCAAAAGAATGGAAAAGTAAACAAACTATAAATTAAAACAAATCGATCTTTTTTTTCACTTACCATCTTTTCTGTATATTTATCGTCTTGTGACAAGACGATAAATATACAGAAAAGATGGTAAGTGAAAAAATCTTGTGAGTAACAGTATAAGCGTAAATATATGTTTTAAGTGTTATAAGATGTTCCTTTTATTTACTTTCCGTAAATTTAATAACACGTACAATGCTGATCAAGAAGTTATTTAAAACAAATGTAACAGCTGATGCATATTCAATATTATTTTACTTTCATATGTTTTGTTAGTAAACAAATCTAACTAAAACTCTCTCAAAATCCCTCACATGGGTACCTTTAAGACAGTCCTAGGGCTATGGAAATGGCCATGAAATTCTACATGTATGTACCAAGTTTTGTGGCCACCGGTCCAGCGGTGTCCGAGTTCATCACTGCTAAACAAATATACAATCAGGGCTTTTTGTTTAACATTTGTTTGGTTCTTGAAGTACCTACATCATTAAAAAAAATTAACTTTTACTCGAGAATCATTGCTAACATGAAATTCTACCATGTTTAGTGTCTATTTATGTGGTGTTGTTAGCCAACAACAGATTTGAATCGAGTCAGTTGTGCTATTTCCATCTTCTTACAGAGAACCATCTTCTTAGCAGAGAAATGCGTAAGGAGCATCAAGATGCAAAAGGAGCATCAAGATGACAGCAAGTTTTAACTATTGGCCTTATAAGGGAATGCTCACAGTGTGACAGCTCCTCCAGCCTTGAGCTCCTCCGTGTAAGCGTTGATGAGAGCAGCAACTGTAGTGAGGGTAGCTAGCACTGCAGTGATGGTGAGGCCTACTCGAGGACGGCGCCACAGTGGGAGCAACACCAGCGGAGACAACACGTACAGCTGGAAGTCTGCACACAGGTACCACGCCTGAGGAACACACTGCAAAACAACACTCTGATATACAAGGTATATAAGTGTTTGTGGTTTAGAAGAATTGTTCAGCCTAAGTTGGAGGAGGACCAACTCAATTACGTTATGAGTTCCGGAAAGTGTGCCATTTTGAGGGAAGCTCTTGAAGAGACCGAGAAAGCTACTAAATGATAACAAAACAACATTCTCCAGAGTCATGTGCATTTATGTTCTTGCAAGTGAACCTAAGAAAAAGCTCAACAACTCAATGTTTGGCTCTCTAGAACGCAAGGCACACATACATCATACTGCTGTCTGAAGTATACTCCAAAGCAGTGCTTAATAACTGGTTACTGGACAGAACCTACAGGTCGAGCTGCAATTTTTAAATGCAATCCTGACCTGAGCTAAGCATAATGCAAACATTGAGTATTTTTGAGCTGAACATCTTCAGAAAAGCATTGCAGCTATATAGTGGCTCCCACATGCTGATAACGAGTTTTTCCTGCCAAATCGATTGGGTAGAGTGGGATAGAAAGTCACTGAGTCACCTTAAGCCAGTACCATCAGAAACCATTTAAATAGGTTGACGAGTTGGAACAAAACCATTTGAAATTTACGAGTTTAGTTAACATCATCAGAATGAGATTTAAAATACCAAACCAGCTAAAACAGAATAGCTAAGAAACTAAAATCCCATCTGGTCCTGAAGAAATTATGAAAAACTGTTACAGGGCCAGAATGCAACATGAGTGATGAAGAAAGGGGAAGTTTTTTAGTGGGTTGCCAGAAAGGAACAAGACCAAGAGGGAAAATAGCCCACTCCAACACCACATGGTCACTGGTAAACCCCAACATACCCTTTAGGGATCTTCCTTCACTGGCAAATTCTACAAACCCTTGTATTGAGCAGTTTTTTGTCATCCTCCAAAAAGAGAAAAAAAGTTTTATTGTGGTAAAATTCACAAAAAACAACAAAACACCACAACTACCTGTGGTTGTAGGATTTTAGTTTAAAGCTCTTCATGTCGACTAGCCGTAAACAAACAAGGCATTATTGAAACAGTAACACACAATAGACAACTGCACAACCCAAAACAAATGACAGATGTGTCATAACGTTTAGCTTCATTATGCACAATACACTGCCTTTTGAGCGCAGTGAACGTAACAGGATGGCCTGAAAACGACTGCATTGAACTGCATAGTTTTGAGTAGGCTCTGCAGTGTTCTGTAAAGCTTGGAAACACTAAAATCCTTTTTAAATGTAACTCTAAAGCTAACAGTTGGTAGAACTTTCAGGAGTTCCATATCAAATTGAACAAGTTTATGAATTAACAAACAATTGAAATTACTTTTGAATTGCAATGAAAAGTTGCTTCTACCAAAATCCAAGAGACCCTTAAACATGGCACAATTTGCTCTGAACAAGCCACTTCATAAGTCTGGTTTTTTAAAGGTAGTTCTTTCAATTGTATTAACAAGTAATAAGAGTATACTCATTAAGTTAAAACTAATGAATGGAAACAAATCTGTCACACCCTAAACATCCTAAATCCCTGAACTATGACTATCCAAACAACACAATTAACTTACCATAGACACTGGATTGACATAGTTAGCTATGTAAAGCAGAGTAGACCACCAGTTGGTCTGGCAGTTGTGTTGGTAGTCATAGAACATCCTACGCCAGAGAGGACCATCAGTGGCTCGCCTGAGTATGGTGGCTTGTAATAACACCAGCGCAGCCAGTGTAGGGGTGAGTCTACAGCAGAACATGTATTCAGCATGAACGATAAACATGCTAAATCTATAGGCTGTGTGAAATTGTGACCTTTATTGTTATTTTGTATTTGGTTGAGGTATAAACCTTCAGTTTGTGTTTTTTTTTTATTAGTTATTCTTTCTCCTTAGAAACTTCTGTACAATCAAAGTTTTATTTACAATTGACTTCTGAAAACTAAAGTAGACATCCCAATATATGAGACATCTTTAGCCAATTTTTGTTTCAAAAGAACTAAGAGGCCTCTATAGAGCTAAAAGCATAAAATTATATTTTCTCCTTTGGTTTTAGCAAATTTCCCAATAAGAAAGTAGCTATTACCGTAGGTGGTGAAGTAAGACAATACAGTATTTAGGCCTGGGCCCGATTTACTTTTTCATTTTGATGCCCCCAGAGCTGAAAAACACCATTCGTTCAAATTGATATATATATGTGTGTGTCCGTGAACGTGATAGCTTGAGTAATTTTTGTCCGACTTTGATGAAATTTTGTTTAAAGGTGTAAGGCAGGATAAACTTGATTGAGTTTGTGAACCAGCTTGATCGGACGATGGGAACAGGGTTTTCCAGGGGGTTTTATGTGGTAAAAATTATTTTTTCTCATTTTTGACCCTCAAAACACAAAATTCCCTAATTTCTCTCTAGACCTTTTTAAAGAGCTTAAAAAAACAAGTAATTTAGTATATCTTTTTTTACAAGTAACTGAGAAAATTCTAAAAATTGTAAATTTAAAATTAGGTACCATGTTATTCTTATGGATAATATTGTAAAATGTTATAGTTTGCTTGTTTATGAATATATTTTGATCAAACTTGACCAATTTTTTTATTTTATATTAAGCTATTATTAATAGGTACATTACTAAATAACACACTTTATTAGTTTCCTTGTAGCAGCAAACGTAGGTACTCGTCAAACCTAATGTTATTTAGGTTGCAATAGGTAGATTGCAATTTCAGTTTGAGCGCATTCATCAATGTCAGTATATTCTATCAATGGCTCAATATTCAACCAAGTCCATTTTATTTCTAAAAATGATTACAGCTTTAACGTGGGAATGGATTACTCCATGGGAGATTACAAATAAAACTATATTTTAATACTTCTACATATTTAAAAACTTCCCCTAATGGAGGGGAAGGTTTTTTCTGACCTTTTAGTATTTAAAAACTGCAGAGAATAGGACAGTTCAGCTACTGTATAAACCCACTGAGAAGTGGTAGACTACTTGTAATAAGAGTCAATAAGAGTACTTGTACAGAGGAAGCTTGCTTATGGGACGACCTGAGCTCTAGTGTGTTGTGATGGGAATATACTTGTGACGAGCAAAGAAGAGCACATAAAAAATTAAAAATATTTAGTTTATAAATGTATAAACTAGAGGACCCATGCTGCTCCGCAGCGTTAAAATAAATATTATATCCGAAAATAATCAAATTTATGATTTTTGATTGAGTAATCCAGTATCTTGAGCTTAACTGATTCAAACGATCAATAGCTCAAATTAAAGCCTATAATTTACTGATTATTTTGAGTCTAAAACATATAAAAACCCTAAACAATACTGGAGAGATTGATTTTTAATCATAGAAAAACCTTATGAAAAATAATGTGTATGTAGATTGTTCACATTGCGTTTGCTTGAAACTCGTCCGATTTGAATAACGAAAAGCTTAAATGAAAGCCGGAATTTCACTGAAGGTTCTTAAACCAAAATATATAGGATTATGTAATTATAACTGGTTAAATACATCTTAAATTGAAGTAAAAATTCTAAATGAATCAAATTATGTTTTATGGTCGAGTAATACAGTAGGTAAATATATGCCGAAGCTTGATGTGAAATCCTTGAAAACCCAAATTTAACTCCCATAAGAAATACATAGGAAGCAAATTTTGTTTACATATAAGCCAAGAGGGATTATAGATAAATATATGCCGATGATTGATGGCAAATCTGTGCGTGCATACCTTAAATTTGAGACCTCAATCATGAAAATCGGTCGGGTAGAAGAGCCAAACGAACTCGGAAAAGAAAAACCAAATTTAACTCCCATAAGAAATACGTGGGGAGCAAATTTCGTTTACGTATAAGCCGAGTGGGATTATAGATAAATATATGCCGATGCTTGATGTGAAATCTGTGCCTGCATTCCTTCAATTCGAGACCTCAAACATGAAAATCGGTCAGGTAGAAGAGCCAAACGAACTCGGAAAAGGAAACCAAATTTAACTCCCATAAGAAATACATGGGGAGCAAATTTCGGTTACGTATAAGCCGAGTGGGATTATAGATAAATATATTACAATGCTTGATGGCAAATCTGTGCGTGCATACCTTCGATTTGAGACCTTAATCATAAAATTCGGCCGGGTAGAAGAGCCTACCGAATTCGGAAAAGAAAAACCAAATTTGTTTAATATATAAGATTAGCTGTATATTTAAAACAATATAGTCTACATTTTAAATAATTTAATGTTCAGAAAGTTTTAAATTTACATATAAAGCAAAAGTTTGAAAATTGAAAGACAAAATTTGTTCTGTTTAGGACTCCCCTCCCCTTTTTTTTAAGCTTAAAAAAAATAGGAAAGAAGCTATTTTTTTTTACATGGATGTATTGCATAGGCCTACCTGTTTATAACTTTGTCATGGTATTCAAATATTTTAGAGACATTAATAATAATGTTATCCTCATGATGCTTATAATAATTTTGATTATATTAAATATTTCAATCATAGATCACCTATAGTTTTGGTTACCTAATATACCTATTTTTTCCAATAAAATTTTTTAAATTTTCTTCTGGTAAATATATGTATAACCCAGCAACCTTGTTATAAAAATCAGGGTCTACCTTGCATGAAATGGGGTAGTGGGTTTCTTTTTTTATGTTGTTTGTAATAGTACCGAGTTGCTAAATCCAAATATTCGACCTCGGCGACCTTCCGGATCACCTCCAAAAAGCTTAAAAATCGGCTGAATTTCGCACTATTTTTACGTTTGTCCGATTTTGACCCTGAAGCATCACTTTTTCCTAAAGAACAACCATAACCATTTTTAAAGTACATTGGATTACCTATAATCTTAGACCAAAATGGCTATTACAGGCCTTATAGTTTTCAAGATATGACTCAGCAAACAACGGCTAAAATTACAACGTTTTGATTTTTTTTTAGTTTGGCAAACGTTAACCGTTGCGTTAACCCTAAAGCATAACTTTCTAATTATTTTTCATTAAAACAACCATAATTATTTTAAAACTACATTAAGAGATATGCCTCTTCAAGGTTCATAAAATCTTCCCTAAATGCTTTTATTTTAAGTTTCAAGCTATTAAATTTTGTGAAGTTTTTTAAAAGAACCATAATGAAAAATAAACTAATTTATTTCATCTCAAGAACAGATAAATCAATTGTATCTATCAACATAAACACACACGTACATTGTTACAATAAATGGTTCTCGTGGATAGAACATAGGCCCGTGACGAACGGTATTTATTTAATTGTATCGCCGCGGGAGCAGGTTGGAGAACACTGAATTATAATATAATTCACTCTTATAATATAATATAATAACATTATACAGGGTGAATAAAAAGTCAAGACCCCCCCATCTAATATTTTTCCAAGTAAATATACAAAGATATCCTTTTGGGGGTCGTGCAATCTTAGCAGGAAGTTTCATTTTGTGATTTTGAAATTTTCGAGTGTTCCCCCGGAGAAGGGGGGATTTGGGGGGCAACTAAAAAATTTTAAATGTAAACCCCCTTCAAGTGACACCTCATTTTGAAGTGTTTACAAAGACTTAAATAATGGTGAAAACTAGAGGTCGCTATCTCTTCTCTATCCAAAATTGTAGCCCGTCAAATGTTGTGGAAAATCAATGATAAAATTAGTTCGTAGTTGTAATATTGGCTACCATTTTGGATAGAGAAGAGATAGCGACCTCTAGTTTTCACCATTCTTCAAGTTTGTGTAAACACTTTAAAATGAGGTGTCACTTGAAGGGGGTTTACATTTAAAATATTTTAGTTGCCCCCCAAATCCCCCCTTTTGGGGGGACACTCAAAAATTTCAAAATCACAAAATTAAACTTCCTGCTAAGATTGCACGACCCCCAAAAGGATATCTCTATATATTTACTAGGAAAAATATTAGATGGGGGGGGTCTTGACTTTTTATTCACCCTGTATATAATATAATATAATAACACTCATTATAATATAATGAGGGCGACTGCGTCTGTGATTAGATGATCCTTGTACCCTTGGACATGGACTCGTTCTGTAGGGGTATCAGTTGAAGATTGACTTGTATGACTAACTTGAGACGTTTGGATGTGTGAACTATAATTTAGTTGTTCATTCAATTGAGACAAGGGTAATGGTGAAAATCCATGTGTAAAGAAGTGCTTACATTCTTCATCCGACTGCTTCAGAACGCATAGCCTGTGAAACAGTGTAGGGGGGGGGGGGGTCAATAGTCATCTTTATATTGCCAACAGTCAGAGTATTAACATCAGAAGAAAGAGATTCTACTTTATTCTTCCTTTTGTATTTGACTTATTCATATTTTTCTCATAAAACTCTCAACATCTTTAATACTTTAATACCTTTCTTTGAAATGGCGACCATACAAGAAGTAGGTATGTACAAGAGAAGTAGGTATGTTAGGCCAAGTATGAATGGAGATGAGTGTATGATGAGTGGCGCGATCTTGTAGTCTTGTTAGTGACTAAGGCCGACATATTCCTTAGACACAGCTGTTAATTAATAGCCCATACAGCTAATGGCAACTAAGGGACCTACAGTTTATAGTGGAATCCGAACCACTTTTTTTCCTTGGTATATACGAATTGGTCTAATTATCAGGATAGTACTGCGGAGAGTCGTAGTACTCACCCGTGCGGACGTTAATCCACACCAGGAAGTATCGCATCCACAGTGCATGCCTATTAATATCCACAATTCGTGACCTCCTAGTACTACAGGACGACGCCACCCGTCCCAGTCATCGCTTCATTGCCAATATCTCTAGCCATATGACAGTTGACAGTTTCCTCCCAACAATTCCACTGCTTAAGAACATTATAACATCACTATTAGGGAGGGTGACAAAGTAACCAGTCACACAGCTTCTCTGTATTCGCTTCAACTCGAGTGACTCGTGAGGGTCTCGTTTCTACATACTACTCAGTTGTATGTGCCTTAACATTGCAGTAGGCCTACTCCTCAACCTCAGCACTTAAATTCTACAGATAAATTATATCATTCCTACTGTCCATCGGATAAGAACGGTGTCAGCTACTGTACACCACGGTCCCGAGTCAAACCTACATAGCTTTTCATTAGGCAAATGAGCACCTGCTCTATACAAATATACAACTCTAGTCTGCTCTATACAACTATCGTCATGTCCGTCCAAACACCCGTCTAGAACTACTTTTCAGAACGCTTAAATGATAGGTAATTTAATGTACTTTAAAAATGGTTATGGTTGTTCTTTAGAAAAAAGTGATGCTTCAGGGTCAAAATCGGACAAACGTAAAAATAGTGCGAAATTCAGCCGATTTTTAAGCTTTTTGGAGGTGATCCGGAAGGTCGCCGAGGTCGAAAATTTGGATTTAGCAACTCGGTACTATTACAAACAACATAAAAAAAGAAACCTACTACCCCATTTCATGCAAGGTAAAATGCTCTAGGTTACTGGGTTAATAGCCTTGTGAGTAAAAGTGGTCATGCACTTATACAAAGTAGCGCCTGTCTCTTGTCCTTAACTTAGTACTATACAGTACTAAACTGATATTGTTGATTGTCACCTCAAATATCTGTAGACATAGAACTGTACTAGGTTGAACTTCTTGCCCTTGTCCAAGTAGCGGAAGAGGCCGTAAGCCACCAACACTCCTGACATTAAGAAGAATATCTCCACTGACAGTTGGGTGTTCTCTATAGGAGCCATTTCCAACACGTCAATCATCTGCACAATACAAACATTCTAAAAATCTCCCATATCGTTCCTATATAAGGTGAGGTATAGGAAAAAGGATATTGCATTCATTTTTTGTTTGAAGCATATTATTTAGTTCATGAGTATTATATTTTACATAACAGTTCAACATGAGCTAACACAGTTTTATAGTTGAATCTTTAAACTATCTTTTTATGATTTAGGATTTTTTAAGAGATTATGGTGACTTCTTAGCCTGCTTGCACTAAGGATCCAATACGACCTCACTCTTTGTTATTCCTCGAAGAAGCCTACTATTGAAGGGGCCGAGATTATCTCAGATTGATTTCAGAGAGAATCAGACTTCTTGTGTCAGAGTCATCTAAATAGGGTTTTAGAATAAAAATATGGTGTGACAGAAAACTGGCTAAAACAAGTTTTCAGTGATTTTTAGTTTTATATTGTTTTGTAAAATTATTATTTATTGAATTTGTCAATACATGTTTGTAATTGTAACTATATCATTGCAGACCATTGTGGTAAGATTAAATTACAAGAATTGTTTGATTTTTAACAATGTGTTATTATTTTTTTATACAAACTTACAATAGTACGTTTCGCACCTAGGGCCGAAAATGAGATTTTGCCGGCTCGAGATAGTTTTTAAGTTCGAGACGAAGTCGAGAACTTAAAACGATCGAGAGCTGCAAAACCATTACGACCCGTGGTACGAACACTATTTTTCACCACACTACTACTATACACAATAATAAGTAATGCACACTGATAGTCAACTCAACTTTAATGTTATGTGAAGAAGTAATTTAAGAAATCAGCAAAAATAATAATAAACAGTTGCTAGGCAACGGTGAAAATAAATGGATCCTGATTGTGTATTTAATATGCAAGCGGTCAGCAGATTTTGCGGCCCTAGGGATGTAAAAACCTGCTCGGTCCCCAAATGACGATGACAGCTGGCATGGCCAACAAAACGTAACTTTCAGCCTCTAATTAACGTATGTAAAACAGCTAATAACATCATAGTGTGGTGAAATAGTATATTACGTTACTAGTCCTGAAAATAAGTGTTTACCGGACGAGTGTGGTCGTTCCCGTGCGAGACGAAGTCGAGTACGGGATTACCATACGAGTCCGGTACACACATTTTGGACGAGTTACGTACGATAGTTTACGCCATACTACTTAATTCGTACAAATCTTTATATATTTCCACCAACTAAAGGACTAAACATCACTAGTCATAACCTCTAAGAGAGGTTATGTTTTTGTTTATAACCAAATCATTGCCATGCAAATACAGTATAATCAGCTGATTAGTGTCCGGTAAAACTCATTGCAGAACAGTATTACGCAATGAAACCCCATTTGAATAAGCTGGCGGCAAACAGCTGTTTTCTGGACTAAATCCTTGCGTGGGAAGTTCGTCAAAATAATGTAGTGTGGCGTAATAGTATATTACGTTACTAGTCCTGAAAATAAGTGTTTACCGGACGAGTGTGGTTGTTCCCGTGCGAGACGAAGTCGAGTACGGGATTACCATACGAGTCCGGTACACACATTTTGGACGAGTTACGTACGATAGTTTACGCCATACTACTAAATCTGTACAAATCCTTATATATTTCCACCAACTAAAGGACTAAAAATCACTAAGACCAACTAAGTAGAGGTTATGTTTTTGTTTATAACCAACCACCACTGAGCTAAAATTATAACTGGAGGTAGCACTGCCATGGCAGAAGTCTGTCAAAAGCGAGTCGCTGATTTTGTTAGGTTGGTACAGCAGTAAGTTTTCTTACCATAGCAATAACATGGCTTCTTATAACTAGGTTGTATAGCAGTGAGTTTTTTTGTCATAGCAATAACATGGCTTCTTATGGACACCCACCTCACGCAAACATGGCGGCTGGCGACACGCATCTTTGACATTCAGTGCTACCTCCAGTTAGAATTATATAGCTCAGTGCCAACCACTCATTGCCACCTAAATACAGTATAATCAGCTGATTGGTGTCCGGTAAAACTCATTGCAGAACAGTAGTACGCAATGAAACCCCATTTGAATAAGCTGGCGGCAAACAGCTGTTTTCTGGACTAAATCCTTGCGTGGGAAGTTCGTCAAAATAATGTAGTGTGGCGTAAAATATTATTTGGTTGGTGTAATATTTGTGTACGCGTACTTCACGTCATATTATTCCCTCGCACAGCCATACTAACTAAAAGTATAAATGTAACTAAAAGAATAATTACTGTCGATTTTTGTTTTCTAGTTTTATGTAAAACCAATCACGCAGTAGGCCTACTGAGTAGGCTAGAGATACAACTTTATTCCAACACTCAGAAAGAGAACTTTAAAACCGGTTCACCTCCACTCATTCTGATCACTTGAGGAAATATGTACCAACTACCAATCACCAACTGGTTTACTTAATATCCAATGGAAATGCAGTTTTTAATAGACAAAAAACTACTAAAGTCCAGAATGTTACCTTACTTCGCTAAGCATGACCAAGGAAATGTCATTGGTTGTTTAACTAGAGGTAGATCGCATATTTACAGCTAAATTATATCCTGGTTTGGTGTCATTGTAAAATGAGTAGTGGTCTCATTCCATAGTCAACACAAATTTGACACAAATTTATTGTTCTTAATATGAATTTGTAATATTTAAAAACTACCTTACAGAGAAATTTTAACAAAACTATTTAGCACATTTACCTATAGCACATTGTAGGAACATTTAAGCCAGATGTTTAATAAAGATTGAGACTGATCAACATTGTTCAACCGTGTAGATTCCCTTTACATGTAGAAACCAATCTAATTTTCTGATTTTAAAATTTACTTGTTCTGCATCATATCATGTTTTGCAATATAACGTTCAATTAAGGAATCATTGGAATATCTTAATATTACAGTAACTCTTAAAACGATTTCTTATCGAATTATCTTATATCTATTGTACGGGTTGGTGTCTGCCTTTTTGACCACTTATGCCGATATTTTGTCACATTATTCAAGACCGATCATCATAGGTTCATGAGATTATTTTCGTTCATGTTTTCAATTACGGTATTGGTAAAGATTTCGCTTGTGTAATACCGTTAACTTTACAGTCAATGGTAATACTAATACAAAATAATTACAAATACAAGTGCAGAAGGGCAGAAGGGCACGTTGTCCATGAGCCGTTTCTATATTTTGTTAAATTAATAGTGGTTTACAGCAAGTGGATTAATTGTTTAATAATTTTTATGAAGAAATATGTGCATAATTTAGAAAGTCATTAATCTGCAAAATTGCAATTTATTGCAGACTTTTTAGAGATGTTACTTCGATGTATTCATTCAGCTTAGTGAAAACACAATAGAGCCTTTGAATGTTATTAAAGTAACGAAAAGGGTTGTACATGTTTACTAGCGCTACTCAGCAACAAAAATCATTTAATTTATCTCTAAAAGAAGTTTGTCAAAGTGCACCGGTAATTTACCCAAATAGTAACATAAACAAAATGCCCAAAATCAATACTGTACTACAAAAAAGTGCAGGCCAGAGCCATTTTAATGCCCTTGGATTGTGACATTTATTAATTCGGCTTCATTTCTCTTAACCAATGGATTATTCATCTGCAGAAGAAGTTCATTGTGCTCTTATCGTGTCTAATAACATCCAAACACAGAACCCTTGCCTAAAATAGTACCTACATCTTGACAGTTGTTTTTCAGAGGCCTATTACGGACCGTGGCCCACTTGGTTGGCCTTAAATGAGATTTGTGAAAATAACACTATACACTTCGACTATAAAACAAACGAGGTGTTAGCCCGTCCTACGTACGGGAATTCAGTAGACAGTTAAAACCGTGTACAATTCAGAACAGCTAGTTTACACATATAAAAACAAAGTTACTTGCAGTTTTAATGTGAAAAATCATCTTGTAAACAAATGTTGTGTGACCAAATATGTTTTTATTCCATCATAGGCCTTTACGATATGCATTTTAAATCCGATAATTTTACAATAAAACAGCAATTCTGCAATTTTTACGATGTGAAAAGCGTTGCAGTGAGATTTGCAGCCGATTCGCACAGACGCACACTGATTATAAGTAGCCTACAGTAGAGAAAGTTAATAGTTAATTGAGAAGTGTATAGACCTAGTCAACGATACCACATTCCATAGCATATCTGCCTCTTCCATAATTAATTATTATCACCACAATACAACCACTATACACAATTTCCAGTAGGTCTGAATAGAAACGACCTAAAATAAAACGATAATATCCAATAAAATTCACAGTACACATAATTTAACTTTGGTGTCCTAACATCAAAACTAATCGTCACATCTATCCTTTATATCAATTTCACTGCATTAATTGCTAAAAGAAAGCGAGGTAATAGAAACGTTTTAATAAATAAGTGTAAACAAAGAAAAGTTAAACAATAACAGTTTGTTTTGAAACAGCTGTTTGGATCAAATAACATTCATTTGAAAAAAATAACTGGTCACATGTTGAAGGAATTTAAAAAGTAAACACGCTAGTAAAGTTAGTGACGTATCTATGTTAATAATCCATACTGTTATCAGTTCTATCCTTGATAATTACCCACCCTCATTGAATAAATGTACATCGTGATTTCCCATATTAGTTAATTTAAACTACAATATATTCATTGTTGAAATAAAAGTGATATTTTCACGTTTGGTGGCGTTGATATAGGCACCCCCAAACGTAACCTCGAACACGATTTCATAAAAGAATGGTTTGTCTAATTGCAGTATCCTAGGTCAATGTTGACGTTGTGTTCAATCTATGTCATCCATTTGTTTATCTTTGTATAAAACCCGACTGAGGTTGTGGTGGTAATTTAAAATCGTGATTCCTGATTACTCTTGATCTTTTCTTTATGACACCAATATTTCCGGGCCTAATCCAAACAAAGTTAAAGCAGACAAACATTAATTGTAAAAAAAAGCTACCATGAATAATTAAAACATGTTAACA